TGTTCTGCTGCGTCCTTTGTGTTCTGTCTCCAGCTGTTTCACTGAAGTAGCCTGGTGACTTTAAAGTCAGTAATGAAAGAAATAAAGCAAAAACAGAGCTTCCTGTCTGCGTACGGCTGTTAAATGTGGCTGTATATCTGTCGGGTTCAGTCAGGGTGGATCTTGAAGATGTGGCCCCAGTGTGTCTGTTGATCGTCAAACTTGTTTTGTTTTAACTTTAACAGTTGTTGACGACTCTTAAATTGTAATGTTCTCAGTTTTCTTTACATTGGAGGATGTTATTTGGTGAAAGGTCCTGAGCAGAGCAGACAGCGTAGGGGACAGTGAGCAGTTAGAGGGTCACATGTTACATAACACCCTGCCTGCAGATAAATAATACAATGCCAGCCGTCCTCACAAGCTCCACTGATCAATAATTGAAGTCTCATGTTCAGGACATGGAATCTTTTGCAGGCTGAACTTACGCTGCTCCGTTTGTGCCAACGGCAATCCACAGTTTTAGTTAGTGCTTTCAGTTTTCACAGTACAGTCTCAGATAAAACAAAATATAAACGGTTCCCATGGTCATGGAGAACCTGGAAAAGTCATGGAATTTTGTTGTGAGAATGAAATTTTCACAGTAATGTTCTGTGAATAATCTTCCATGTAATGTAATATAATGGCAGACTTATTTTCTGTAGCTCTCGACGTCACAAACTGTAGATCTAATACTCGTCACGGATGTTTCTCCATTTTCTCCCGGCGTTCCTTCTCTCGCTTCATGTATGCCAGCTAGCTGAAGTTAAGTTTGAATAGAGTTTTAATACGATATGTTTGAAAAACACTGCGGAAATAGGGCAAGAAATAAAAAAAAATTCATGGGTCCTTGAAAATTCATGTTTTTTAAAGTTTGTCCATGAGAATATGTGGGAACCTTGAATATATCTGGTGAATTCAGGGCAAGATTTTGATGTCAACTTTATATGTATGTACTGAATATGTACATGCATTATGTCAGTGTAATGTCTGACTTCATACTAAGCCAGGATGCATCGTGTATAACCGTCTCTGCACGGCTGAAAGGAAGTAACACCCAGCACATCAGATAAAAACACTTACAGGGTTATTTCTAGATTTTGAGGTTGGCTTGTATATAGTCAGTGTATTATCTTTAGTAGACGATGGTAATTGTGGTCCCAGTTTGGAGAAGCAGACAGAGTCCCACCAGGGAAGCTCAGCATTACATTGCAGTGGATGGTGGTCAATATCAAAGCAAATTTTAGCTGCCTTAACCTTTTGAAACCTGGAGCGATGTCACTTTTCCTGTGATGCTTTCAGACACCTTTCGCAAGTATTTGAACCTCTGAACCCTGAGCAAACTGGTGCAATTTCCTTTCAAAAACCTGGAGGGAAAAGGTGATGAGCAACTTCGTAAGAAATGTCACACAAACTGCAAAAAGTTAATAGATTTAGAAAATTATTTTAAAAAATTGAGGAAAAAAAAGGTTGGGAAAATATATTTATAACTATCATTATCATATATTTAGAATTATTATAATTTTCCAGGTCATTTTCTTCTGTGTTTGTTTTTAACTTTATTATTATTAACTAATTTTCTTGTTTTTAATTTTCTCTTTTTGTAACTTTTTTTTTCATTTCTCCTTTAATTACTCATTAGCCCCTTTTACACTGCCAGATTTTCCGCGAATGTTGGGCCGTTTTGCTGGCAAGCTGCGAGCGTTTAGACACACAGAGCCAGATTGGCAAGTTGATCCGAGGTGCCCAATTTTCCGCCTTGTAGGGTAGACATATTGACGGAACCCTGTTGATGACTTGTGGGAGGAGCTGTTGATGACGCCACACGTGCGAGCCACTGGCGGTGGATAAACAGGAAACAGCTGATAGCAGGAATTAGCGAGCAGCTAGTAGCAAGAGGGAAACACAAACCTGACAGACACTGTAAAGATGAGCAACTGGGGAGACAAGGCATTGTGCGCCCTCCTTGTCCTCGCAAACGAAGAGGCCATTAACCGTCAGATGACGGGGACGGTGAAGAACGGGCCGACTTACGAGAGAATTGCCGAATCACTGACCAGCGGCGGCTTCCCTCCCACGTCACTGTTTACGTCACACGCTGAGCTACACGTTTTGTTACTTGCTCACGCCCCCCATTGCCCCGAAAAAGGCACATTCTGTATAAACAAAAGTAGGTAGGCGGCATTTTGCTGCACTCCCCGATTTTGTTTTTATACTGCCAATGCTGAAAAAAGACTGATTGGGCTTTCCTGCTAATTTGCACAACTCCTGTTTAAAAGGGGCTATTGCCTTCTTCACATGTTTTTGAAAGACAGCAAGCTAACTCGTTCATGTTTCAAAGGGTTAAAAGAGGCCCAAGGATTTTGAAAAAATCGGTGAAAAAAATCCTTAATGTTGCATCCACTTAGACCGATATTGACTTTTTTAGGTGGGCCTCTTTTAATGTGGCAAAAATACGTTTGGATATCAACCCCTGCGCACACCAATGTAATGCTGAGCTTCCCTGGTGGGACTCCTGCCTGCTTTTCCAAACTGGGGTGCGCTGACCTTCATCTACTGAAGATAATACACTGACTATATATAAGCACCTCATACAAGCCAACTTTAAAAATCCCAAAATAACCCTTTAATGAATGATGAAACATTTAGTAACATCATAAACACATGAATCATACACATACTGTCTGGCATATTTTTATGAAGTGTGAATTTTTTGAATTTCTGCGCACATTTTGGGGCTTCACATGCAGTCAGGAGGAACATCAGGAGGAGCTGCTGGTTGTTAGTTATGAACTGAACTGACGTGTTACACAAAGCTGCTGTGAGGAATAAATTAAGGAGGGTCTGATTCCTGCTGAGTGATGAGGCCTGCAGTCAGAGTTCAGGGCAGAATGCAGAGGCAGGCAGACAGGTGACATGTCGCCCCCTGCTGTTCACAACCAGAGGAATTCAAGGGATGTTATTTTTTTCTAGGGCTGTCAACTGTGTTCTTCCTCAGTGTTGTGAGTGTCTTGGCCGCTCGGCTGTAGTAGTATGATGACAGGTGGTCGAATATGAGCTGATTAAAATGGAAGGAGTCTCTGTCTGTCTGTCCTCTGATTTTCTCGACAGCCTTTTACCTGATTGACTTCACACTTGGCAGGTGAATTTCTGAGGATCCAAGGAAGTGCAGTGTCGAGTGAGAGCTCTTCAGATGATGTTAGGGGGCCCTTATTAACTGTTACACAGCCAAACGGCACCCTGGGTACACCTCATTCATTCAAGAACAGATGAAGACCAGCACCCAAGAAACAGCACCGGGCTTTGAAGCCAATTTGACATGTGGACATTACAACGTCTAGGTCCGTCACGTGAGGCCATTTGGCCCCAAAAGACTTTTACCCATGGACTTAAACATCTACTTACATTGTGAAAGAGATGTCTGTAAATTTTTGTGAGCATTATTTGATTTGATTCTTTAAGAAATACATAACATCCCTGACCCAAGGAAAGAAGGATGGGGAGCACGTTGCTTCCAATTCATAAGGGTCAAACGTCTCGCCAGGAGAGTAGTGAAAGCTATAACCACGTGGGCTTTATTTGGTAAGATAACACAGGATTCCTTCAAAGTTGGGTTGGGGTCCAACTGGGTTTCATACATCTTGCTAGAGGTTTGGACATAACCAAAACACATGCATTAACTCTGCTGGCTGGCCTCTACATCGAGGGCATAACGGTGCAACATTTGGATAGAACTTTGCCAGTCTAGCATTAGTAAGATGAGCTCTATGTAGTACTTTCAGTTGTGTTATGCTATGTTTAGCAGATGTGGATGATGCAGGTATGTATCACGTCTAGGGCAAAACCAGAGGTTAGCTGCTTGGCAGGCGGGATTGTCTTGTATGCCCGCTCTAGGGGCCCAACGATGTGGAAGCAGAGCAGAGGACTGGGCGATTATACACGTGGAAGATGAAATGTTTTGGCGTCATGCGCGACTGAGCAACTTTCAGTGCAATAAAAAGGGCCCCACCTCCAACGCTGTATCCAGTTCTCTTTATAGATCCATGGTGAAGAAAAACAGACCAGAAAGAGCGGTGTAACTTTCAGTATTAATGGTTTTGTTACCTGAAATAGCCTCGTCCCAAACAGTTACGGACGCAACCGTGCCATGGCAGGTGTATTGGTCAGTTGGTTGGATGAGCAGTTCTCGAGAAAGCTGCAGGCCCCACTGAACATGCTTGTTTTCATAGGCACTGCACTAGTAACTAGGGATGGGAATCGAGAACCGGTTCCTGTTAAGAACTGGTTCCAACTGGTCCAATTCATCGACATCATTAGCCTTTATGCTTAACGATTCCCTTATCGATTCTTTTCATTACGCCGAATCTATGCTCGTCAGTCAGCAGCCCGTTCAACAACAAAGAAGACGTAATGGCGGAGAGACAGAAGCGGTCAAAGCCGTAGCTTCACTTCACGCTGTTGTTAGCCTCCCTGGAGCTGCTAGCCCAGTTTGGAGCTTCGGCGCATCCCCGCTCCTGTTGTCGGATTTCATGGGAACACCAAGGATGGTAAGATGAGGGCAGTTGAGTTGATTTGCACGCTATTTGTTGTTATAATATGCTGGGCTAGCTGCGTTAGCTGCCTCACCTGAGTTAGCTGCACTAGCTGCGTGGTGTTGACACACTCAGGCTGGGGATGCTTTTTTTCAAATCTTTCTCATCATCTTTCTAAACTAGACCATGGCTTTAAGATTCATAATAAAACGTTATTGAAGCAGATGTACTGGGTTACAAACAACAGGAGGTGATATCATTAATTCACAGGAGGAATCGATAAGGGAATCGATAAAGAATCGGATCAATAAGCAGAATCGATAATAGCATTGATATCAATAAAATCCTATCAATTCCCATCCCTACTAGTAACTGCATTACTGTTTCATTCGTCATTTGTTTTCAGATCTTTCAACGTTGTTAAAATGTTGACTTTGTGTTCACCCGTCACAGGTTTGGTTTCTGCAGATGAGCAGCCTGAATCCTGAAAACCGGGAAAGCTGTTGAACATCTAATCAGCCCTCCTGACCACTGGAGACTGGGTAAATACTGATACACCTGCATTTATCTTTTTATTGTCTTTTATACGTGTGTATAAAGTGCTGCTGCTGAGTTTGAGTACAGACAGACATGTTGATACCCTGCGTTTGTACTTTACATGACATAAATTGATCTCTGTCAGCCTCTGCAGATGTTTTACAGACTGCCTGTTGTTTTTGTTGTTGCTGCTCCTCACCAGTAGATGTCAGTAAAGAATCTGATTTCAGCCTAGCAGAAGAGTGAATGGATCCAAGGACAGATTTTGGATGTGTTTTGTTGTTAGTAGTCATTTTGTTGCCCCTAACATGGGACAGTGTGTTCTCTGTTTAGTCCTCAGACAGGTTTGTGTTGCAGCTGTGTGGCCGGGCAGCCTGGCTGCCTCCCTGCCTCCAGATGAATGAAGAGCACTCCAGGACACAGAGACACAGCTGATGCAGGTCAGAGGTCACTCCATCTGCCAGTCAGTAACATTTCATCTGCTGATACTCCGTGTTCATAGGAGCTGGAAAACCCTGTCATTAGATAGAATAAAAATATGTATGAATGTAGATGTTTGCAACAGAACTGGCGACTGTCTTTTTTTAAATCTGACAGCAGCAGTATGGGAGTCGTTAAAAGGCTAGAGGACACAAACCCAGCTCTGTTTTATCTTAGCAGGAAGTTATATTTGAATTAACAGTGTGTGATGAATGTGCTGTGATTTGTTTTCTCCTCAGGGCATGCAGGTGTTTCTGCAAATATGATGAAGAAAAAGAATCCCCATAAGTGAGTTAACACGGTCTGCAGCTCATGTTTCTTTATTATGGCCAAAATGATCGGACTCAAATGTCCCGTAAACGAGTTCATGAAATCAGAACAAGAGATACTGTTTCTTTTCCCACATTAGAGAATTTAATAGATGCAACTCAGAGTACAAACAGTTCACATCATCTCAAAGCAAATAATGTTGACTTATTTTGTTTCATGTCTCCTTGAAGGAAACATAAGAGCAGTCTGGGTCCGACCACCAAAGTTCTGTCACAGCCACGACGCAACATCGTCGGCTGCCGGATCCAACACGTCTGGAAGGAAGGAGGAGGACACGTGATCTGGAAAGGGACAGTGCTGGACCAGGTGAGCAGAGGGTCAAGTAACTACTAACAGAGGAAGGGATTAATGGAGCCTTCCTGTAGATCAGCTGCAATGCTCTCGCCATTGGACCAATTTCAAGTATTGTTGTTCCCATTAGTCACTTAGACACAGACACATGGGAAACTAGAGTTCAGGTTGAAAAATACAGAAGAGAGCCTTTAAAGATTTGTGAAAGGAAGCACAAAAACAAAGGAAAAACAATGTTTCATATCTGTGTGTCCACCAGGTGCCAGTGAACCCGTCTCTCTATCTGATAAAGTACGATGGTTTCGACTGCGTTTATGGTCTGGAGCTTCACAAAGATGAGAGGGTTCAGGGACTGGAAGTGCTCCCTGACAGACTGGGTAAGACTACTCTTATCACATATACGTTACTGTCAGCAAAACATAACATTTGAGATATTATGACATGCAGCAAAGGTCCCCAGCTGATTTTAATTTTTCTCCCTGCAGCTAAATCCCGTCTAACGGACGTCAACCTAGCGGACACCATGATCGGTAAAGCAGTGGAGCACATGTTTGAGACAGAGGAGGGTCCAAAGGAGGAGTGGAGGGGGATGGTGCTGGCTCGGGCTCCTATCATGACCACCTGGTTCTACATCACCTACGAGAAAGACCCGGTACTCTACATGTACCAGCTGCTGGACGACTACAAAGAGGGAGACCTTCGCATCATGCCTGACTCAAGTGAGTGAAGCACTCTTACTCAGCATTTGTTTAACTCGTTCAGCGCCCTATTATGTTCCAGTCACAACAAATATATATATAGAACTATAGGACCACCCAATGGGTGACATCACGGTGGCTATACAGTCTATGGCTAGCTCGGACCTCTTGGTTCGTTGTTAAATGCTTTGTGTTGAGGTGATATTTCAGGCTTGCGGTTCTCTGATGGTACGAATGTTACTGACTGCTGAAACTGCAGAGAACGCTGCTCCTATCAACAGTTCAGTCTGGACATTTTTTAAATGTAAATGTTCCATTCACGGGGCCGAGCAGCGCCATCTCGTCTGCCTCCATCATGTGACAAAGACACTGTAGCCTTCAATGACACACCGGGTCAAAGGGCACCACGGAACATGATTAATCAGCATTTTTTTCTGTGATTAATTAATTGAAATTAATGCATTATTTTGACAGTCCTAATAAATATAGGCCCGTTTACATCGCAGGAACTTCGGGGTAATTTTACGGGGCCGGGGCCGTTGGTGCGTGTCTCCACCGCAGGAACCACCCCCAAAGGACAGAGTTACGTAAATTTTACAGGGGCTAAACAAGTCCCTGCCTCGGAGTAGGTACTCAGAACAGCCCTGAAAAACTCCTGAGTAGGGCTTGGGGCTTACTTGGTGCTGATTGGATATACTCAAGGCGGGATGTGACGTCAACAGAAAGCGACAAAATATGCCGCGTCGCCCCGGTCAAAATGGTCGCGCAACGATTACGTCACATCCAGAGCCCGGTAACTTTACAGGAACCTTCCTCCTACTCCGCCCTCTCAGTGGCAACACGGCGGTTGAGAGGGCCGAGCAAGAGGACGTTCCTGTAGTAGTTCCTGCCCCCCATATAGTACCAGGAACTTCTTCAATGGAAATGGGCCTTATATCGGTACCATGAGGTACCAAAGACATCAGCCAAACGTCTGTTTGGTTGTTTGTCAGCAAGATTAGAGAAAAACTACCGGCCTGAATTTCATTAAACTTGGTGGAAAGCTCTAGCATGGGCCAAAGAAGAACCAATTAAATTTGGGTGTGGACCCCAGTCATGGGGGCGGATAGACTAATTATTTTTCACTTTAGTTAAATTGTCAGTATCAGCACGCAGCTCTTGTCTTGGATGTCTCAAACAAATATAAGATGGCTGAGCCGAAATGGTGGCGGCTAGCAGTGCAGTGCTAACAGGGCTAACAGTGTTAATGGGTGCTAGCTCACACTTGCTGGGGCGACCTGGAGGGGAACTGGAGGGTGGGCGTTAGGCTGATATTACGAGAAAGGGCATTTGGCCTTGACGGAGGTCTGTGTTCTCCGATTGTCCTTTAGTTTTCCCTGTTATACCAGAAGAGTAAACACCAGGCAAGATGGAGGACGTGTTAATACCAGTTAGTGCTAACACCTCCCCCTCTCTCTGTCTCCTTGTAGATGACAGCGTCCCGACGGAGAGGGAACCTGGCGAGGTGGTGGACAGCCTGGTGGGTAAACAGGTGGAGTATGCCAAAGAGGATGGCGGCAAACGAACGGGCATGGTGATCCACCAGGTGGAGGCTAAGCCCTCCGTCTACTTCATCAAGTTCGACGACGACTTCCTCATTTACGTCTACGACCTGGTCAAAACTTCATAAGACTTTGCGGATGCCCCTCCTGCGTGACAGAAACAAAATGCAGCACATGTTGAAGCATTTGATCCAGCGCTTGTTCTTCAGACCATCAAAGACAAAAATAAAGACTGAAGAAAAAGAATTCTCACAATGGACGGATTGGGAACAATTAAGATGGAAAAAAAACAGCTTGGTGAAATTGAAGACTCATCTGTGACCATTGTAGATCCCTCAAATATATGAAAAAAGGTCATGGTTTTGCATCATTTAAAGGTCCAAAACTTTCCAAATGCACCATAATACCCTTCTGAAAACATCAGAGACCTCCAAAAAAATCTGTTTTACTCTAGAAGAAATTTTCAAAAGGACACCGCCTTCTGTTGAAGCGAGACTGAGTCTTTTTAGAATCTGACCTCCTATACAAAAATTAGCCTAACTCTCAAAACCTTTCCCAAGAAACTAAACCGTCAAATTCATTTTCAGTGTCTGACACCATGACAAAATTGAAAGTCGTCAAAGATTTCTGGCCACAGAAAAATGAGCGGCAAAGAAGTGAAGTCTAGAACTGGTTGTGGAAAGGGCTTCAAAAAGGAAGACGAGACGAAGGAGAATTCTCGGACTGAATAGTGTCGTTGAAGGTCCATCGTCTTCGACATCTGTCTCATGCAGCAAGGACTGGCAATAGTACGGAAGCCCATTTCTGCCAGGAAAAGAGAAGCAGATGGGTAATAATAAGGCTGGACATCACTGCTGATTTCCCAATTCGATTCGATTCAATAATGATTCCATTAGGTAGGTTCATTACAACAATGCAGATGCCTTCTCCAGTGGTGGGGTTTGTTTCGGATCCGACGTTTTGCAAATTGCCCATCTTGTTGATGTCTTGTTAAATGGCTTCCAAGTCTTGTGGTACTTCCACAACTATATTTCGTTGCAATTTTGCACATCTTACGTACGGCTTTTGTCCAGCTCTTCTTTGTGTTCATTAAATCCTAAATGCAACCAGACATCTCCCTTTAGGCTCAGTGGTGCCGTCGATGGAGCAGGTCCCGACATGTATTGATTCAGCTGAGGTTCAGTAGTCCCTTTCATAGTCAGATCTCTTGGGGTGAAGAACCAAAAGCTAATAAGACCAATCAGGCGAAAGGTCATGGATCCATTGGAAAAGTCATATATGAAAAGCTCGATCTTGGGAGTTTTGAATCGATCTGGATTGTTCAATTGAAGATTGATGTGAATCAGAGAGATTTTTTTCCCAACCCAGTTGGAGTTAGCAATGATAGAATCAAAAATAGTCATTGTAAGTTGAAATGATGAGATATTAAGTCAAAATTTTGTTTAAATCAAAATTAGGACATATCAAGTAATGTCAACATAGTATCTCCTAATTTAACATAATTTTGACTACTTAGACATTGGAATTTGATTTGGTAAAGGAATAAAAACAAAATTAGTCACTAGTAAGTCAAAATTATGACATGCTAATTCATTTTAACATATTGTCTGCTAATTTAATATAGTTTTCACTAATTAGAACACATAATTTGATTTGGTATATGAATGAAAAAACAAAAATAGTCATATTAAGTCCAAATTAAATGATACTTTGTCAAAATGGATATTCTTAATCAAAATTAAGACATACCGAGTAATTTTTACTTGCCATCTCCGAATTTGACATAATTTTAAGTAATTATAATTATAAGTCATACTTTGATTTTGTGAATCAAAGTTTTTAATTTTGATTTACTATATCATCATTTTTACTAAATATTTGGCTAAAAATCTCAAGTTTTACTTGGTCAACAGTTTTTTTTATTTTGTTTTTAAAAAATTTTTATTTCAACTTGGTGAATATTTTTTCAGCAGTTATCTCATAATTGGTGTGCTTGATTTACCACGATAATCTTAATGTTTCTCCACACTTTACATGCCATCTTTTTTTTTTCTTGGCCGAAATGGGATTCCATATAACTGAGATCCATAAGACAGGAGACCACACACACTGGTCCCAGTTTAACATCAATGCTGGACTTGACACTTTCTGAAGCCTTGGAGAAAAAAAAACAAAAAAACAATCACAGACACACAGAGACACTTTGGAAATATCCCCAAACTTAATTTATGGCCCTTTTGTTTAAATGAAGGTTGATTGAAGAGACGGGATCTGTTGCGGTTGTTGTACAGAACAAAAGACAGATTTCTTCATCATATAGCGCGCTTCTTACACAGGCTCCATCTCTCCGACTTCAGCTGAATATTCATGAAGAGTTTCAACAAATCCTGATTTTTTAAAAAAAAAGATGGGGGCTTTTTTCTTTCTTTTTGCTTTTACAATTGCCAAAACCCCTTCCTGTTGTGAAGTTGTTTGGTGTTAAAGACGATCGGACAGCTTTCTCTTGTGATTTCACTGAAGCCTTTGGATTTGCTTTCGTGTTGTCTTTTCTAAGTCGTCGACGAAGGAGTTAAAAGGACGGAGGAACGACACTGAAACTTGGCCAAAGCCCTTTCTGTCCTTGGCAGTTTGTTTTAATGTTAAAAACCTTGTTATGGACAGACAAACTGGATCTGAGGTTTATCGGGCCTTTCTGCCTCCGTTTGAACTTCACAGTGGTGGATTCTTAATGTCAAAATTTGTGGATTTAAGGACTGGAAAACATGATTCAATGCACCTTAAATCTTGGGAGATGAGACGAAGAATATTCCCTGGACAGTTTGTGAACGTGTCGGACTTAAATTGTCACCAGAATCTACAAGATAAAAACAAATCTACTGTAGTGATACAGTGACGTTTCTAAGGCCTCAGTGGCGCCAGTTCACATCCATGTCTCTGTTGAGGAAATTATTACTGAAACAAAAGTATCCCAGTTTGTATTTACACACAAACCAAAAGATTTTGGACTCCTGGTGATGCAGATCCGCTGCTCTCCTGGCCGTCTGAACAAGTCTCTGTTGGACGTCCACGAGATGATCTGGTCTGTTCCACAGCATGTATGCAGTAAGAGAGGACAGTGGTGTTTAGTATATATGAAGAGATTAACAAGTGAAGGGTTAAATTTCCTTTTATACAAATGTACATTTTATTTTATTTGGATTTACTCAAGACTGAAGGTTTTCTATAACCACGTTCTGTACTAGTTGGAAGTATTTGAGCTAAATTTGCAGTTTGACAGTTAGAATGGAGCTGTTTTAAATTGATATCCCACATAAAGTTGCAACCAGCTGTATTTGTAGAGCAGAAAATAATCCCGGAAAAGCCTTTAATCAAAACAAATAACATCGAACACAAGGCAGTTTGACGGCTTGTTGGTTCATTAAAGGAGACTTGTGTTTTTTTTCATGTATTCTGATGATGTTAGGTATGTTTGCATCTGCTATTTGTGCCGGAAAACAAGGCAATATTTCAAAAAATTTCCATTTACTGTAAAACTAAGACGTCAGTTTTTGGTGTTGAACAAAATTGTCCACTGGTAAATGTTCAGTCTTTTTATTTTTCTTCCGAAAACTGAGTAAAGAAACCAGTAAAGGTCAATGAGCCATGCATGATATCCTTAAAGGGTAACTTTGGTATTTTTCAACCTGAATATTTTCCCATGTTTAATGGGAACAGCAATTTTGAAAATGGTCCAGAAGCAAGAGCCTTGCAGCTGGTAGCAGCGAAACAGTGAATCCACGTCCACTAAAAGTGTTTGTTTTTGTCACTGACAGGCTCAGATTATTTTCTTAGTGTCTGACCACATTATGGAAAGGATCCCTACAGAGATAACCATTTTGTATTAAAGAGTAAGATCCTTTTTGTTTAACCACTAACAGCCTTGAAATCCCCATCATCAAACCCACCAGACTCCATTTAAATAAATTGTAATTTTAGCGTTTTCGGTGCCAGAATATTTTCACATCTAACTGGGTGAATTAATCGTTAAATAAATCCTTAACTGCTCAGTGATTATTGGAAACATGGAAAGATGAACCAAGAAGAAAAAAGCAGAAGCTGTTGAGCACTGTGAAGTTATGTCCACTAAAAGTTGTTGTTTTTGTCACTGACAGGCTCAGATTATTGTTAAGTGTCTGACAACATTATGAAAGGATCCCTACAGAGATTGAGCTTTGTGTTAAAGAGTAAGATCCTTTTTGTTTAACCAGAAACAGCCCCAAAGTCGCAATCTTCAAACCCACCAGACCAGATAGAGGCAGCATGTTGTCACATCTAACTGGGTGAATTAACAAAGATGTCTATCTCTGTAGGGATCCTTTCCATAATGTTGTCAGACACATAGAATAGAACAATCTGAGCCTGTCAGTGAGAAGAACAAATACTCTTAGTGGACGAACAATGATGGTGCGAACATGCCCAGAGTGGTTACATTGCAGCCTGTTTTCCTGCTCACTAGTGGAGCAGTTTAAAAATGTGTTGCTCCCATTTGTCACAGAGACACAAAATCATGCACAAAAAGGGTCCAGGTTAGAATAATACTGACGTTACCCTTCATTCAATCAGACGTCTCGGCTGACTCGCTGTACAGAACAGAGTAACGTATGAAAAACCTTCAGTCTGTGTACTTCCTGTGATGTAGTTAGTTGCCGAGGCAGATTACAGCTCTTATTATAACCGCACTAAAAAAAAAAAAACTGAAAAAAAAAAAAAAAAAAAAAGACAGACTCTCCCAGAGATCTGTAGGTTTCTGCACTTCTATATCTCTTTTTGTTTTTCATTAAAGAGAAGTATGATTGTGATCATCTCAACAGGCACTATTTTTTAATTTAACGAGATAACGTGTCGTCACTAAGACTTGTTTCGCAGCCGGGTTATGTCCAATTCAGTCAGTTAATTTCAGTTTGTTGTTAATGTTGGAATGACATGGGTCTTCTATCATTCTTCTGCCTTGTATTATTTTTGTTTTTGTATGTTTTAAAATGTATGTTAATAATTTTTATTGTTGATGGAAAACCTGACACGGCGTGCTTTGCTTTCTTTCCAGTGTGGCCTGAGTGATTCATTCAACTTCCTGTTTGGTTGTATGTTCAAAACTGAAGGGATAGTTCATCCCAAAATCAAAAGCACATATTTTCCTCTTACCTGTAGTGCTGTTCATCAGCCTAGATAGTTTTGGTGTGAGTTGCAGAGTGTTGGAGATGTAGAGATGCTGTAGATGCACACTTCCTTCTTCCAGAGGTCACACTGCAATGATCACAACTGTCTTCAGACCTTTTTGCACTGAGGTCTTCTTCTTTGAGTTAGCTGCTAACAGCTACTTTTTAAATCTCACATGGTGGGTCTCACACTTAAAGGGAAATTTCGGTTTATTTCAATCTGTCTCCTGTTGTCCTAAATTTGTTTCAAGTGACTAGTGACATAAAAATAATAGTTAGCATGTTAGCTATTAGCCTAGATACAGCCGGGGCGCATAGTAGCGTCAGACCTGTTAAAACGTAAGTGAACGGGCAACCTTCAAGTGCAAAGTTAGTCCACTAAACAAGCTTTTTTTCCACAAAGACCGCCTCATATCATTAGGATAAATGTCAGAGAACATATAGAAAACGACATGTAAATGTGTTGTCTTACCTTACCGCTGTGCTGCCATGTTTGTTTACCATCTAGCTCTGCTTTCCAAAGCCCGGCCAAAATATCGCGAGAACAAGCAGCGATCTCATACCATACCTGAAATCTTGCGAGAACAAGCAGCAACAGCTGGAAGGCAGGCAGTAGCCTGCAAAGTTCATTCATTTATTTTATGAAAGATTTATAGAATAATGGCTGACTTTTTGCCAGACTTCGACTTTGTGGAGGAGGAATTTGATTTTGCAGAGTTTGATGGCCACCCTTATTTATTTGATCCAGAATACACTGACGAAGAGCTTCGTGAAACTGAAGAACGGAGGAGGAGAGAGAGAGAGGCGCAACAGGTAGAGGACGAGAGAGGAGGAATGGCTGCTGCAAGGCTGCGTAGCTCTGGAGATTGGTGGTGTACCTGTGAATGCTGTGCCCCAGTGCCCACAGAAGAGGAATGCCTCTGTTGCAAGGAATGGGACTGGTTGCAGCCTTATTTTCAAGGTCTGGATGTGACCGAGGACGAGACACCTCCACCTGGAGTAGTATCCAGCTGGGCTTTATCTAGAGCTGGTGAGATATATTTTGGCCGCGCTTTGGAAAGCAGAGCTAAATGGTAAACAAACAAGGCAGCACACCGGTAAGGTAAGACAACACGTTTACATGTCGTTTTCTATATGTTCTCTGACATTTATCCTAGCGATATGATGTGGAGAAAAAGCTTGTTTAGTGGACTAACTTTGCACTTGAAGGTTGCCCGTTCACTTACGTTTTAACAGGTCTGACGCTACTATGCGCCCCGGCTGTATCTAGGCTAACGGCTAACATGCTAACTATTATTTTTATGTCACTAGTCACTTGAAAGAAATTTAGGACAATAGGAGACAGGTTGAAATAAACCGAAATTTCCCTTTAACACGTCATCAAAACATCACACCCATGCTGCCCATGGTCCCGTCCTAACGGCAGTCACCGTTACTGCTTACCCTGGAGCCGAGATGCACCAATCACATCGGTGTATCTGATATAGGCGGGCCAGAGGCGAGTTAAACAGATGACGACAGCGCTGCGACGACGAAGACCAGAATCAGTCAGTAAACATTGCAAGATGGCTACGGATGAACACCAGTTGTTTGATACGGCTTTGGCCGCTACAATGAACGAGTTAGACTTGGCTTTTTCTCTAAAAGAGGAACAGAAGACGGCGCTCGAATCTTTCCTTTGCAAGAACGACATTTTTTGCTGTTTTGCCGACCGGATACAGCAAGAGTCTAATCTACCAGTTAGCTCCGCTGGTAGCTAAGCTCTGGATACGTCACCCCGTGTATTGTTCTGATTGGTCGTAGTGTTATCCAATTGCGTGCAGTGATATTTTCAAATGCATGCTTGGTGCCGCCCCTCGAGTTGGGCCATTTGCATTACTCATAGCCAGACCCTAAATCTTTCTAGACTTGGGTCTGGATTTCCAGGCTAGTTACTGCCTCCAATGTGGGCGTAAAGGTGAAACAACGCTGTCGCCCCATTCAGAGATTGTACCTTTAATACAGAACAGCGAGGTGGCATGACAGCATTAAATTTTCACCTTGAAGAGGCAGTGTAAAAGAGGCTTCAGACACCACAAACCTAACCACCTCCAGGTGGACTGTCGGCTGTTGATTTGGCCAGGCATAATGGAAAATTATAGTAACTTCACTCTTTAAAACACCTAAACACGAAATCTGAATTAGACATTAGTTTAAAAAACAAAGAAGTAGAAAAAGTAGCTGCTTCTTCATGCTAACAAATGGTATTTATATGTGTCCATGTATTTATTTGCAGTACTCAAGTTATCGTTCAAGTCAACTACATGTACATAAATTCTGACATGAACACAAGCTGGATGTTTGTCAGTTAAAAACACTTTTCTTGCATCACCTCAAACATTTGTTGTCTTTGTTTATCTCCCTTTTTATAGTATGAGCCAGCATAAACTCTTCTGCTGCAACTCTACAAATAACATTACTTAAAAAAACCTGACATTAACGTGACCTACCCTTAAGCTGAAAGGAGGAGAGTACATTATTTTTCAAAACCAGCTTTAAAAAACCTGCTTATTTTCTTATTGGATAAAAAAATAGAGAGACAGAAATGTAAAATTAAATCTATTTTAATGTCACAACACGCTTTTAAGCAGTGACTGGCCTGGTGTGTGAGAGCAGAACTTCTGTCTCATTCTTCACTCAGCCACTTCCTTCCACTTTCCCTGAGCACAATGAAGGGTGACGCCCTGAACGCTTCTGACAAGCTTTATTCTTCCTCATTTGTGTGATTCATACAGTCTCACCCCACTCTGTTTCCATCTGAATAACTTTCCATCTAAATTTAACGCAGATTTTAACCACAATTTAGAAATTAATGTGTGTTTCCGTCCACTACTGCTATGCAAATATAGGACTTGGGTGCTTTGAGAAACAGCTGGTGCCAAACATACCAAACAATGATGGAAAGATGGGACTTTTCCCACACATTTTAACACAATGAGCTCTTACCCCTGCCTTCGAGTGTGGCATTTTAGTACAAGTACAAAATACTTTTACACTCATGACGTTCGTAATTCATGTCTTTCAAACTATTTGAAACACTGACGCCTTGAAGACTGCTGTCAGTGTTGCACATGAACATGCTAAAAGTGCACTTCCATCGAAGGAAGTCCGATCCAACATGTGGCCTCTGACCTGTCGAGGTATGGACACATGACCTCAGGGGGTGTCCTGTGGTGTCTGGCACCAGGGCGGTGGATCCTTTGAGTCCTGTTAAGTTGTTAGGTGGGGTATTGGTGTTGTGTTGAAGTCTGTTTCTCCGTCGATATGTGTTTCCTCCTACCTCAACCTTACCCAAACCTTTAGCCCTAACCCTAACCTAACCACCTAGGGGAACAGGAGTGCTACGCATTAACCTTTTAAAACCTGGAGCGACATCACTTTTCTTGTGCTGCTTTCAGACACCATTTGCAAATATTTAAACCTTTGAACCCTGAGCTGATTGGTGCGATTTCTTGAAAAACATGAGAAAAAAGGCAACGAGCAATTTAGTAAGAAATGTCCCACAAATTGCAAAAAAAAAACCCAAAAACATAATAATAGTTTTTAAAAAAAATATATATATATTTTTTAATTGTACTTCTTAATTTTCTCCTTCTACTTATTTCTTCTTTCGCTCATTCATGAACAGCTTTCAAAGCTTTCAATTTACTGGTCCATCTCCGTCCCAACCCTCACCAATGGTCATGAGCTCTGTAGTGAAAGAAGTGAGTGAAAGAATGAGATCATGGATACAAGCGGCCAAAATGAGTTTCCTCTGTGGGGTGTCTGGGCTCAGCCTTAGAGATAGGGTGAGGGGCTCGGACATCCAGAGGGAGCTCGGAGTAGAGCCACTGCTCCCTCTTGTCAAAGGGGTCAGTTGAGGTGGTTCATAGTGTTGTGTCATTCGCGAACGAATCGTTCAAAAGAACTAATCTGTTGAGTGAACGTACTGAACTGAATCACTTCTGGAACTGATTCGTCCATTTCTCAGTTCAGTTGAGTTCAGCAGCGAGCGTGCAGGCAGGGAGTGGAACTGCCGATTTGGTCCGTGCGGACGATGAATCTCTCGCAAGTCACGAGGCAACTAGGGTGCAGGGAGGGACTGCCTACCGCGTGACGAATCACTCAGTGAACGAATCACTCAGTGAAGGACATATCCCAGATCCCTGAGTGACTCAAATCATTTCTTCTCAGCGATATACCTTCATAGGGACTGTTTTCTCCAAGCTAACGGCTAATGTAGCCAGGAGTCAAGCCACATGAATGCAATCACACACCTCTCCATTGTTTTAACAGACTTAATCTCCAGATGAACAAACTTAAAACATTAGGCTGGCCAGTAATGAGACTCACCAGTGCAGGGCAGACGCAGCAGCAGCAACAGAGAGAGATTGAGTCGGACTACGCAGTACACACTCAGGGCTCCTCCCGCCAAGCACTGAACGATTCGGTGAACGAATCTTTTTAATGAACTGATTCTAGTGATTCAGTGACATCTAAAGAACTGCTTTGCCCATCACTAGTAGTTCAGGCATCTGATCAGGATCCTCCTGGGCGCCTCCTGTTAGAGGTGTTCCATGCACGTCCCACTGGTAGGAGGCCCCGGGGCAGACCCAGAACACACTGGAGGGATTACATATCTCATCTGGGCTGGGAACACCTCAAGGTCCCCCAGGAGGAGCTGGAAAGCATTGCTGGAGAGAGGGACGTCTGGGGTGTTTTGCTCGGCCTGCTGCCCCAACTAAAGCCAATGGATTTCTTCTTCCGTTGCTCATTGCCTTCTTTCCATGTTTAATTCAAGCCACTTTGTTCAGGATTCAAAGGGTTAATGTTGTGGCTGATCAGTGTAGATGAAGACTCAGGCTCAGCTGCATGTCCAAATGAGTTGCTTGGCTATGACTGTACCGCCACCATTCGGAGGAAGATTTTAGCAAACGGAAACAAACTTACTCCAAACATATTTTAAAATGTATTTATTAGAAAAACTACTTTGCTGTGTCCATACCATAGACTGTATGCATGTGTAATTACAGTATGAGTTTAATGCCGCCTCAACACCAGAATGACAACAAAAAGACCAGTGAAATGTGAACCAATAAATAATATTTAGTAAGTTATTCAGATGCGGTAAACAGTTGAGGGGTCACCTGAACGTATGAAGAAACAGAGCAGGAACCACCGTAACACCCCCTGCGTGAGAAACATCTGCCGTTGTACAATGTACAGACACTCGCAGCTGTCGCTTTGGCTTCCATTGACACAGTAAGACAGACAAATGTGCTCGGCTCTTTTTGCTTCTGCTTTTTGTCCTGATAAAAACGCTTCAACCTCAGATCAGATCAGAAGAGAGAAGTGTTTAAAGTTTATCAGTGTCTCCAGTTTGCGCTTCTCTTTGTGTTTTTTGTACATTTGACACGTTCTTCTGGTCAGCAAAGGAACCTGCTGTTTGTCGTCTTCCCCAGAGTCAGAAGAAAAGATGGATATCAGTTCCATCTCTTCACCACTTCCTTCTCGTATCTTAGCTCATCACCAACGGTCTCTTTTTTACATTTGAACAAACAAGATATGAACATGTAAACCAGACAGCTTTGGATATTCTCAGAGCTAGGCTGTTCGCCCTGCTCCTGTGCTGCGTCTCAAATCAGATGCTTCAGAGTGCATTTAAGAAGTACGGCAAAATGCAGTGCGATATGACTACCAGGATGGTGCACTTATAACAGTCAGAAAAGTTCACTGTGGAACGTTAGATACTTCTCACCCTAAATGGTTGCCGTGTTGCCTACGTAGCCGAAAGAGAGGATCACAAACACATTTTAAACTTGACAAATGTTGGGCGAAAACCGAAGCTTTGTACAGTTGTTCAGGTGTATTTTTTTACTACCACTATACTATCGTCAGCGAGAAGCCATCAGTCTGTTTATTGGGTTAATTCTGTAATAGTTTAGTACCGCGAACGATAATGCAAATGCTAAGGGAAGCTTGCTAACAGTGGCACGTTACAGTCTTTGCAGGATTTTGCAGGTTGTTTTTGGAATGCCTGATTACATGACATCCATCCATTCATTTTCTGTCGACTCTGTTGTTGAACCTGTTAGTAACCGTTGCATAGCAGTAGCTTTGTGATGCTAACAGTTAGCCCTGTCACAGGGTGTGTAGCCCTTTTTATACTGCCTGTTCAGGACAGGGATATCATGCCGCCTGACTGTTCTGAATAGAAGGTATAATCATGAAAAAGGGGGAACGAGTTTTTTTGCGATGGCCTGAACGACCGGATCATGGGTGGCACGGGTGAGACATTTTGATGAGGTGTTAAGCGTGTGACCCACTGCAGGAGATTTTCAAAGTAGCTGATAGCAGTTAGCGGCTAACTCAAATAAGAAGAACAGTGGCCGAAAATGTCTGCAAATTGTGAAAACAACAGTTTTGGGAGCTCCTTACCCTCTGAGCTGATGATGATGATGTTACTGAAACGTTATTGCCATTGTTGTTTAGAAAGTGCTGCTGACACGTATGATTTATGTCACACTAGAAGCCCACACAGTTGTCTTAAATGTCACGCCTCCAGCAAAGCTGTGATGACGTGTATTATCACACAATTGAGTGTAACTATGCCGCTGTCGTTTGGTTGTGTGTAAAAATGCAGAGGAGGCGTAAAGAGGGGACTTTGTAGCGGCTCTATAGCGCCATCTCTGTGTAGAAAGAGCTTGTGACTCTGTCCCAACAGTCACATGACCTGTTAAAGTGAATCGATTCACAGCACGCAGCTCTATGATGTTGCCTTGTTTGATCTGATCTTGAGCTCAGTAAGTACATAGTGTGCGTAGTATACTACATGTAAATGTATTGACGAAGTATCCGCTTTGAGATACAGCACTCGTCTTGTTCTAAGCTACGCTAAATAACTCCTGAATACTGATATGCGTCTCATCTGACTCTGGGGAAGAAAAGATTTAACAACTGTTCTTGTAAAATACTCTCTGGCTCTGGTTTATTCACCTGAAAAACAAATAATGTTAACACTCTTCACTATTCATACACTTCAGACTGATAGCAGACTCATACAGAGTGAGCAGGTGGCGGTCCGATGCCTTGCCCAAGGACACTTTGACAGAACTGCTGGCTCTTGCAGGAGCCAAACTGTTAGCCTTCTGGTCTCAGTTATCCAACAGAAAATCATTCACAAAAATTCAGGCACCAAAGCTCATTCATCCAGCAGGAGAGACAAAAAGAAAAGCTTGGGGAAAATTACAGAAAAAAAATAATTAAACTTTAGATTTTGGTTTTGGGGGCAAAAATAGCACAATGTAAAAAACTACTCAAAAATCTGAAGCCCACAGCAGCTCACAGTTTTTCCTCGTATTCGCCCCCCGCCATGAGGCCTGATCGCTATGAAAATATCTCTCACCGTATAAACAGGCATAGTTAATCTTTCTGTACAGGTCTTTCTCCACACAGCGCGGTGTGTGTGTTGTCCATGTATGTTGGCACTGAGGCAGGTGTGTATGTTACAGGCGCAGCTCCAGGACGTCAGTCGTCGATGAACGTAAGCCGGCCCGGCCCCTCGTTCTTCATCCAGCGGCGGTACCTTTTCATCCTCGGGTCAGTCGCCATCTTCACCTTCATCTCCTCCTCCTGCTCCTTTCTATGCACCTGAAAGACGCAGAGCAGGGACGGTTAGACTCGCAAACTGCTGAGGCTGGATGAATCTTTAAGATCACTTCTTAAGATGGAAACAGACTGCTGCCGCCATGCTGCCACGGCCGAGTGCCACCCCAACAAAAACAGGACGTGTCGCACTGCAGCTCATTGAGTTACTGCTTTTACTGAGCGATCTGTACCTCTTCTCCCTCTGCATTAGCTTAAAATCATGTGTGGACAGCCCCTAATTAAAACTGATTTCTCACCCGAAGAGCCGATCTCCAGAGTGTGACTTGCCACACAATATCTTTTCAGCGATTGTCTTTACAATGACCTTATTGTCGTTGTTTAGCTTAGGATATTTATCAACCTCAACAACAAGTCTCTCCTCATCCATTCTTTGTCACATACAAGACACAGCAACAGAAACAGAGTTCTCTTTATGCATCAATGGTGAGGAGAGGAGTCGAGCTGCCACAGGAGTAGTTCAATTTGTCATGATCTGGCTCTAATAAAACCCCACTTCAAAAAATCCGAACTCTCCCTTTAATAGCGCACATGGTCGATTTAGTACAATGTACAATTCTACAGAGAATTTTAAGAGACAAACCTCGAAGTTTTCTTTGATCCACAGCTGTTTTTCCATGAATGTCTGTTTGGTGTTTTCATCCAGACTGTCGAACTGAGACTGAGACATCTTCATGTATCTCCTGAGAGTGAAAACACACAGTCTGTTGTGAGATAGAGCCGAGACGTCTAGATTCATCTCATTCTTTGAGATAATAAAACAATATACTATATCTTAACCGACCTGATGATGTAGAGCTTCTCCTCGTCTCCGTACTCCTCCCTGCAGATGGTGAAGCGGTAAATCCAGGAGACGTACCAGGTCACGTAGTTGGTCAGGTAGTAGGGGAAGAGGACGATCTGACACAGCAGGATGTCCGACAGGTTGGGCTTCTGGTAGCCTCCTTTGATGTCGATCTTGTTTTTGATGATGTCGCGGATCACCTCCTCCTCCTGCTCCCGGATCTCCTCCTTGGAGCGGCGGTTCTTGCCCTTCTCCTTGGTGCGGTTGAGGAGCCCCTGCTGCTTGGCGATCTCCGTGGCCTGGATTCGGTACTTGGGGACCGTCACCAGGTAGTTGATGGCCTCGTTGTAGCTGCTGTGCCAGCTGTAGTACTGGAGGGGAGACAGGGAGGGAATGGGTGAGTGCTGATGGGGGTTTCACATACGTCTCCACTTCCTCCCACTGTACAAAACTGAGGCCGGAGCACAGGAACTGCTGGTCTGCCTCGATCTGTTAGTGTGTGTTATGTTCCTATGTGTTTATTCATTTGCTTGCTTTTCATTTTGTAGTGTAATACACTTTCTGTCCACTGGGTGGCGTTTACCTACAATGGGACTGCAGTTTAACAGGAAGTGTGATTGCAGTCAGGTGTGTTGCCCGCCAGGGAGAAGTGTGCATGCATGCATTCATTGTATCACGGGGTGAGTAATTAATATACCAGTGTTCATTTGGGGGTGAGGTACTCCTTGAAAAAGGACGACAACGTTTTTATCACTTGTTTAGTGTTGTTTTAGGTCTGCACATGAGATCTGATGACAACAAACACTGTATAATATCACCAGATTGATTTTTAGGTAACATCTTTAACTGATAAAAAGGTTTGTCGGGGATAAAGAGTCAGAGATTCAAGGTCTCAGTCTTGTCAGTCATACCTGAAAGATGGAGATGGCACAGATGGTGACCAGGATGACGACCCTGACGTCCACTTTGGGTGTGAGCTGTCGGCGGTAGTAGGCGTAGTAGTGCTGGTAGTACTCCTCAGGGTGGTCCAGCATGTAGTCGTAGTCCCGCCGAGTGTCCTCATCCTGCACACACAGACAGCGAGACATCATTTCTGAACGTCAGGTCCTTGGGAGGCTCACAGTGTTTTTTACTAGTGGCTGAACAGTCTAACACTGTTTGGAAAAAGAGTAAGATCCTTTTTGTTGAACCAGAAACAGCCATGAAATCACCGTCACCAAACCCACCAGACTCCATTTAAATAAACATTTATTTTAGTGTGTATAGAGGCAGCATGTTGTCACATCTAACTGGTGAATTAAGGGTTAATTTCAACCCAACGAGAGCTGGTGATTGTTGGAACAGTGGAAAGACGAACAAATACGGTTTCTGTAAGTTTAATTTTGTTTCTGTCGACTTTGAATGAAGTGTGTTTCATGATATTAAAATTTGTGTGTATTTAAATGGAGTCTGGTGGGTTTGGTGACGGTGATTTCAGGGCTGTTTCTGGTTAAACAAAAAGGATCTTACTCTTTAACACAAAGCTCTATCTCTGTAGGGATCCTTTCATAATATTGTCAGACACTTAGAATAACAGTCTGAGCCTGTCAGTGGTGAAAAAAAAAAACAATTTTAGTGGATGTAAACTGACGACATGAACATACACGGAGTGGTTAAATTATAGCCTGATCGGTTTATCTGACGTACAGAAAGTCACACAGATACTCTCCAGCATGAGAGCGAATGTTTGGTTTTCACCCCCGGCGTAAGAGCATAGGACATTTTGTCGACGTTCCCCCAAAACAGACTGTACCTATTCAGCTGGTTGCAATCTGCAGCCTCACCACTAGATGTCACCAAATCACCTCGCGCTCCTTCAAGTCTTACTGTTTTTTCTGGAGTCTCCTCTCACTTGGGATGTTTCTGTTAATACCTGCAGGCGTTCTTCATCTCTCTCAGATACACACTGTTTACTCTTTTCTCAGTTTCCCCGTGCAAATATTTAACTTCCTGTGGAGCCACAGGGAAGCTACTCTGTCTATGTGACACGTCCCCATTGGACACAGAAACTAAACCAAACATTAGAACATCTGCATTCACATCAGTACTGATGAATATTAAAGTTATTCAGGGAACGTCACCTCAGAGTCAATCCACAGGGGACTGTGTGACAAGAGTGTGTCGTCTTAGTAGGATGTGTATCAACTGAAGTTCATGGTAACACAGTATGACGAGGATTATTCATGATGTATTCATGGTGTTACCTTAAGCAACACCAGTGACGTTGTGGATAGTTTGATATGTTATAGGACATAACGACAGTATGAATCCCTTCAGTAATACCTGATAGAACTATTTCATGAAGGAGAAAAAGAACAGTATCTTACTGTTACTATTGGGCAACACTTCATGAATATTATTACAAGATTACTGCAGAGATACCACAGTCGGTAAATAGAAAAACTATAGCGCTATTCGGACGGGATTAGTTTAACTTGAAGACGTGGGGTAAAGTAATTATTACCAGGGATTTTAGTCCTGTCCGAACGCGCCATTTCTGTAATCATTACGGATAATGTTAGTAAAAATTACGGCGACTTTTACCTTCTGTAAAACGGTCTGGAGAAAATACCTCGGATAATATTAATCCCATGCGAACGCGATCCTCTGTAAATGTATGTAAATATTTCATCATGTCCTGTTTACAACCATTTCTCTGCATTTACAACTAGTTTTCCGCATTTTTTCGATGATGGAGGCGCTTCAAGAAGCATTCGATGTTGTCGGCAGTCATGATAGTGGACATTCTTCTAAAGGCCCTGATACACCGAGCCGACGGTCAGCCGTCGACCAAAGTCGGGCCGTCAGTGAGCATCTGTTGGCCTAGTTTTTGTGGTGTGTCCCGCACCATCAGCCCTTCGGCATCGGTGGCTTTTCGGCCGATTGAGCATGTTGACTCAGCGGTGGAGCTTGTCGGTGAGAGAGATCACTCTGAGATCACTCTGACTCTGTAATAGCCAGCGGAGGTGCTGCGGAGTTTGGCTACATAGATAGGTAATGACAGGATGTACCACTCTGTCACTCCGCTCTCTCTCACTCAGGCGCAGAACGTACATGCCACTTGGCCGTCGGATGTAGTCTGTGTAGTGTGTTCAAATGCAACTGACACAGGGCGACGTAGATGATGCAACAGTTGGCCTTCGTCGCCGCAAGTTCTTTGATGTCGGTTTGGTGTGTCCGCACCTTAATGATCGCATAGCCTGGGCGCAAACTGAGTTACCACTCCCATCTCTGGTAGAATTACGAAGATGTCTTGTTCCGTGCGAATCGGACATTTATATTACAGACATCCTATGGTAAACTGACATTAGTCCACATCTCTATGTAAAACTAATCCTGTCCGAATAGTACTTATGAGAACATTATAGTAGGTCATGTTAAAGGTTGCATATAATGCACATTTTCAGGTTCATATTTATGTTTTGGGTTTCTATTTGAACATGATTACATGCGTTAATGTTTGAAGAAAACAATTTACTTCCCTCAAACTGTCCGCCTGAATGTGCCTGTACTCACGCCCTATATGAAATGAAATGAAATGCTCAGTTTAAGCGCCTGTCTCTTTAAGAGCCCCTCCTAAAAAAGCACAGTCTGCTCTGATTGGTCAGCACTTCCAGGTCTTACATATCTCATATCTGCACTACAGCCAGGGGAGTGACTGTGACGACACTGTAGCAGCAGTTTCTACCTTTATATTGTATAGTTGTGACATCACAACTTCACAGAAGTCCTGACAGCTCGTTTAAAGACACAGTTTCTGGATACGGACTGTGTATATGCCTCTGTGGACTGAGCGTTTGGATACTTTCACAGTATTTGTATACAACTATACCTGCTTTATAGTTATTAAAAAAAGATATTGGAAATCTAACTTTAAGGGACATGGAAATCTAATTTATAGGTACATCACCGGGATACCTGTCCCTTCAGGAGACACTTAGCATAACAAGCACTATGAATCGCAGTAGTTTGGTCTTTGACAGGACGTGCCCTCCAGTATTTGTTATTTTGGAAAAACCAAAGTTCATGTTGTTCCAACAAAGGTAAAAAGGAGGCACGCTCAAAGATCTTAAGGACAAAATTGACTTATCTCAATTTCACAAATTTATTCTGGTCATGTCAAACAAGCATGCTCACGATTTGGTCTATGTTGTCTGTAACTCATGTCGCTGCCTGTCTCGGCCAGGACATTTTTACTCTCAAGAGGTTTTCATGGTTAAATAAAGGTTAAATAAAAAAACAAATCCGACCTTAAAATAGCAACATTCCATCAAAATCACTTTATTCTGCATCTGGTTTAAAACGCAGCCAAAAATAGAGTGAAACACTGGTGCTTTTTTTAAACTGCAGGATTTTGTCTTCAACTTCTAACTTTTAACTTTCAACCGTTAAAGTTAAGTTTTAAAAAACCCACTAACTCATTTAAGGTGTCTGGAGGGTCATGCAGTTTCCACCAGTCACTCAGGAAAGCTCAAAGGGAAATATTTGTAGCTCCAGGGAGGGTTTAAATAGAAGAGGAGAAGAAGTCACACCTCAACCACCCTTCCTCCTCCTCCTCTTCCTCCTCCTCCTCTGATGAGTTAACAACAGTCCCTTTAAAATACAGCTACACATCAGACACACACTGTCAGTAGTGTCAAATGGTCTGTGCCTTCATTAATATTATAGGACACCAATGAAGTTACTGTGACATATTAAGAGCTGTACGGTAGGAGCAATATGGGCACCACAGAAGAAGAGTCCCACAGAAGTTTTACACATTAAGATGGACTATAGTTTGATACTGGACTCATGAGGCAACATCTTATTAAATAAATGAATAAATAAAGTTTAAAGTAAATTATTAGGAACATAGGATCCTATCAGAGGGACCCAACAGTGTCAGCTGTGATAATAATGAACCCCTCACACACACTCAGAGACTTGGACCAACCTTTAACGTCTCGTACGCGGTGGCGACCAACAGGAACTTCTTCTGTGCGGACTCCATGGTCTCTCCCTCCATGCCGGGCTCTCCCACCCTGAACCGGTCCGGATGGTACCGGCGGGCCAGCTGCCGGTAAGCCCGGGCGATGTCAGCCTTGGCGGCCTCCCTGGTGACGCCGAGCACATCGTAGCAGACCTCGGTGCCGCAGTAGAGGCCCTCCACCAGCGCGGTGACCGCCGGCAGGGACGACACGGAGAACAGGAGCACCGCGAGCCGCCACCAAGGCCTCGCCGTCCGCGGACAGCCAGCTAACCGTCCTCCGCCTCCGCCACCGCCGCGGCACCGCTCCGTGGGGGCAGCCATCTCTGACTACCTGCTGCTGCTGCTGCTGAGCCCAGGCTGCTCTGTCGCGCGGTGCTGACGTCATCAGGAGGTGCCGGGACAAAATGATGACGATGCATCGAAGATCGTGTGTGTCGGAGAAGATGAGGAGACGTGTGCTGACTTGTCTCCGCCTTCCGCCATTTATGTTGTTTTGTTAACGTTAAAGGAACACTTCACCCCCAAACTGAACATCTGTACATCAGTTACTCACCCTGTGCTACGTTGAATTCGTAATGAAAAGTTTGTTTTTAGCCCGTGCCTTCATGGTGAACGACGAATCCAAAAATTAAAAAAAAATCTTGATGTATTGAAGTCATAGGGGTCCACTTTTAACAACAGCAAAACTATAGACGAATCACAGTTATTATTGACGTTAACTGCCAGGAAGAAAGTCCACCTGTCACGTACATTAAAATCAAACAACGCCGAGCAGATGTTGTTGTTTTAGCCCCTAAAAAAATCCCGCCCAAAAAAAAATCAATACCATGTTAAGTGTAGCCTACAACATACTTATAAGTTTTTCATCGTTTTACCTTGCCGTCAGACAATCTTTCCTGATGAGTAACTGAAGCTGTTATATCATTTTACATTTCGCTAGCAGATGAGTTGCTGGGCTACCACTGCCCTGATGTGTACAGTAAAGTGGAGCAATTATTCAAATATAGCGTACACTCACACAGATTTTTTTTAGGTGGCCAAAAAATGTTTTTCGCATACAAGTTTAACTGTATACCGTATTTTTCCAAATAGTAGCCCGGGCGTTTATTTCACATAATCAATTTTGACCACAGGCGTTTAAAAGAACCTGGCGGCTATTTGCTCAAGGCTTTTTTTTTTTTTTTTTTTTTTTTTTTTTTTTTTTTGCACCAACCTGCACCGGGCCGTTATTTGGTTACAGTTTCTGTCTAGTATGTTGTTTAGTGCAAAAATACTGTATAATGTAGGGGTGAGTTTGTGTAGAAAAATCTCTAAACGTTTAGAGTGGGTCATTTTTTTCGTGTAAACGTGTACACAGGTTTCACCGCTGGGTGGTGCTATTGCATTATACCAGTAAAGCCCCAGTTATCTGAATACCAACTGAGTTACAGGCCGCCACACCAAAATATCGCCATTCCGACAGTCCGCCATCCAGAATTCTGGTCCCTGAGTCCTGACAGTGAGCTATGGCGAGCCTGTAGAAGCTGTATTTCCCATGCATGTCAGCTATTTTCACCAGGGACGCATGCGAGTAATTCAGGCTGACTTTACCTGTTTTTCAGTGAACTCTTCTGGTAATTTTATTAAAAGGCATGGTATATAGGTCCACAGTAACTTATTATTATTATTATTATTGGGTCTTATAAGAGTGGGCAATGAGCACCGGGCCATCAAATCACAGCATCCGCGGTGAGAGGACACGGAGTTGTGTGCGCTTTTACGCACGCGGGTCAAGGCGATCACGGATATTTGATGTGGGAAAGATGTAGCCAGATGTATTACCTGTTTTAGATACGTGGCTGTCTGTCTGTCCGTGTCCGTCCATCCGTAGCACAAGTCATGTGCACCACTTCACCACCGACCCGTGCGTAAAAGCACAAACAATCCCTCAAATGCAATGAGGCAATGAATGAGGAAATAATTGCCCCGGCGTTTAGTCGGACCAGTGTTTAATACGCAAAATGGGGTCAAACTCTATTAGGTTATTAGGTGCCTGGCGGCTATTTCCCACCGGGCTACTATCTGGAAATATATGGTATCTTTAATGTTACAGTTACAGCTGAAAATGACGTCAGAAATCAACAAGTCGCATCCCTGCAGTTGTCAGTTCTCTACCTTGAAGTGATTGTTGTTAGTGCAACTTCACGGTGATTTGATCTATATGAAAACTTCTGTTAAACTCCCACACATCTCATGCAGTATAATCCAAGTCTCATTTCCAGTAGTATTCTCAGTATTTTTCACACAGGCAGCTCTTCTGAAGGGGAACTGAGCATAAAGTGCTCTCTTTAAAGCCAGACTCCATTGACAAAAACAGTAATTTTACCTTGCTGAACACAGGAGCTGCTGGTCTACCGCCGCCTCTATCATTTAGTTAGTTAGTATGATTGTGTGAATTCTGTGTTTTAAGGGGTTAGTTTGGATTCACTAAAGTCACACAGTTACACAAACTAACTAACTGATTGAGGCTGCGGTAGACCAGCATCTCCTGTGTTCAGCAAAGTAAAGTCATTGTTTTTGTCAATGGAGTCTGGCTTTGATGAGAGCATGGTGTGTTCCATTTGTTCTGGGAAGTCTAAATTTCCAAGTTCCCAGTTGGACATTTCAACAGGAACCCCTGAAGTCAAAATTCCAACTCATAAAGTTGGAGGAACCTCACCAACCCTGACTTCAAAATCCAATATGGCTGCTCCATGCGTCAACGTTGCTGAAAGCTGCTAGACAGTTTATTAGCACTTCTGTCTTGTGTCTTGCTAAAACAGTCATACACACAGTCCTGTCAAACCTGTAGACATGTTGCTAGAGTGTTTGCATGTGCAAGATAAAGTGTAATATGTTCTTGTCAACGGGTCCATGTCATTGGTTCGACAGCCCATTAGTCCGACTGTCCGCGGTGCTGAACGGCTCGCGGCGGGCATATGGTGCGCCGCGACTGGCTTGAGGCGGAGCAGGCTCACGGCTTATGTGTTTGTCACTTTCTTTTTCATTTTAACCCACACCATGATCTTTTCCTGACCCTAACCAAGTGGTTTTTGTGCCTAAACCTAACCAGACCTTAACCACAGGGCATCATGATGATTTCGGAACAGACTTCGGAACAATGGGTTTAATATGGTCGGAACAATGGGATGTCGAACCAATGGGCAGTCCCCTTGTCAACCGGCTAACCTAGCATGAACTGGTTATGCTAACATCATTTTGGTTTTTAGGTGTGATGTCATTCCCAGCTCCAATCTCCAACTCCCAAAGTAAATAAAACACAGCAATAGATAAGTTTCACTTTAAGTTCAGTTCAATTAAATTCATCAAGAATTTCCTGCTTTTTTGGATTCTTCATTCACCAGAGGAATGCGAGGAAAAAAAAAAACTTTTTTCCCACAAATTCAGTGTAACACAGGAAAAGCAATGGATATACAAATGGTCATTTCAGGGAGTGAAGTGTTCCTTTAACAGCATTCCTTTTGAGACTTGTTTCTCAGTTCTCAAGATATTTTATAGCGTTCGGGAATAATTTGATTGCATCAACGTGCATGGATCAATTCACCTTTGTGTAGAAAACGTGCCTACCCTTAAATCCTGGAGCCTTTAATCCAGCATGAAATGAGATACAACTTGAGATACATTGCACACACCTGCTCCTGTATTATGACTGAGGTGTTTAACCAGTTAAATAAAGGGATTATGCACTCAACAGGATGACAGTACTGGCCCAGTACAGAGTAAAGAAACTGTCCTGAAGGTATTAAAAGTTTTATTTTGAAGGGTACTGTGGTGGAGCGCATTTAGAGAGACCGGAAAAAGAAGCAAAGAAGAAGAAAACAAAAGAAACCGATCTTAACATAATATATATTTATATTGTTTTAGGTTGGATTTAACCGTCACTTACACCTAAGCTTGTGGATAGTTTACTGTGTGACTGTTGATAGCAAATCACAGCAGCTGTTCTTGTGTTGTTGTTGTTAAGGGAAGTAAAAAGAGGTCTTGGTGAAATGTGGCACTTTGGACACAGCGAACCTCATGGCTGATAAAAATGAAAGGCTCTTTTGGAATGATGAGGCTGCCCTTCAGTCAGATGTGCACCTATCTTAATACAAACAATGATCATACTGCTAATGCGCTAAAGTATGCTTTAAGGTTGTAGACTGAGGAGATTTGGAACCTGCAGGAGTTGATTCTTCTGCCACTTGAGGGCAGCATAAGTCAGACTCCTGTACTGACAGGAGCTGTGAGAGAAACAGGAGCTAGTGGAGAAAGACCAAAATGTGTTTTGCTTTTATTAAACTAAACTATCACAGCTTTTGATTCAGTCAACTACAGTAGAATGACTATCTATAGTTTAATATCAGTTTCCTCAGTTTTCCTCTGACTACACTGAACAAAAAACTTTTATTTTTGCTCCCATTCTTCACAGGTCTAAGTTAAAGTTGCATCATTTTTATTCACTCAACAGATACGTATCCCTCTTGAATTTTGTTTGCAGATTTGTTAGTATCCGTGCTAGTGAGCCCTTCTCCTTTTCCAAGATGATGCAGCCACCTGCAGGTGTGACATATCAGGATGCTGATTAAATAGCATCGACACTACACAGGTGTGGCTTGTCACAATAAAAGGTCACTCTAAAATGTGCAGGTTTATCTTGAAAACAAGACATTTACTAAGATTTCACATGCCAAGCACTACAGAGATGAATTTTTTGACACCCTGGTGTGACACCATTTACCTTGCACCGTACAGGGAGCCAAATGATCTGCAGAGGTGGACGCAAAAACATGAATGTCCCTATCTAGAAGCAGTGTTTGGTTTGTCTGTTTGGTGCTGCTGTAGAAACATGGTGGTGCAACATGGTGATCTCAACAGACGAGGATCTGCTCCCTATGTTGATACAAACGTCTCATTATAAGCTATAAAATACATAATGATTCTTATTTTCAGGTGATCTTACACTAAAGAAAATATATTATATAATATATATATAATATTATATTATATAATGATAAAAATAATCTTTATCTATAAAGCACTTTTCAAAACAGATTTACAAAGTGCTTTACATGTCGATTATTAAAACAGACAAGACATGAAAACAACTTTTAAAAGAACTGATAAAAACTGAGGAAATAAACGACAGTGTAAATGAACTTAAAACTCAGGTAAATTCAGGAAAGGCTCTCCAATAAAAGTATGTTTAAGAAGGGACTTAAAAGTGGTCCAGAGCCTCGGGCCCTTACAGCAAACGCTCAGTCCCCTTTAGTTTTCAGCCTCTGGAAGAGTCAAAAGACTTCGACCCGAGAACCTCAAAGTACGTCCTGGCGTGTACGGCACAAAGAGGTTGGAGATATAGCTGGGAGAGAGACCATGACGAGCCCTAAAAGTAATTGGTAACATCTTATAATCTATTCTAAAACACACTGGGAGCCGGTGTAAAGAGGTTAAAACTGGAGGGATGTGATTACGTCTCCCGCAGCTGAATTCTGTGCAGTCAGTTAGTCGATTAATAGATTTATGATTCAGGCAAATGAAGACGCTGTTGCAGTGATCCGGGCGTGAAGAGATGAAGGCGTGTAAGATCGTCTCAGTGTCTTTAAATTAATATTTACAATATTAAATTCCATTTCTGCCAATACATCCCCTTAAATCCTTCACACTAGACCTTTAAACCTGTTAAAATGGGAGCAAAAGTAATGCATTTAAATGTGTGTTGTCAGTGTAGTGAATGCTAAATAGTGCTACTACTGAATGGATTTGCGGATATAATTATGTGTTAATAAGATGTGACACATGGTAACATTCAGATCTACTTTCTGTAAGCTTTACAAGTTAAGTTAATTCATGCTTGCAAAAAATGTGCAGTTAACTATTTACACATTTGTGTTCACAAGTATTATTTACATGCTGAAATATTCACAGCAGCGTTGTTAAAAACAGTCCGTCTAGCTTCTCATTGGTTAGTTAAGAGTCATGTGACATATAACAAGGACGTGTAATCAGGAAATGTGGTTGTTGTGAGGCTGCTGAAGTGTGGAGAAGAGTAAAGTGTTGTTTAAGAGAATATCTGTCTCCATCCTGCTGTGTGCTCTCCAACCACCACACATCACACTCTTGTGTTACACCACTGCTCCTGTCAAGATGGAGGACATGAAGCTGGACTCTGTAGTACCAGGTCTTTGTAGGAATATGAGGAGACTTTGTGGCATTTCATTCATCACCAGCTCTGCCAAACTGACGCCTGAACAATGTGAAACATGTTGCTGAACAGCTCTTCAGTTCTGGTTGTCAAACACATTTCACAGGCAGCTGTCAGATGAAACTAAACGCAGATGATCACTGATTAAAGTCACTTTAAAACATGTTGACGGCTCTGAACAAAAATGTTTTAATCACAGTTTGATGAAGAATGTGCAGGAAACACTTGTGGAAAGTTCTGAATGTCTGACGTTGACTTTGATAAACAAAAGTCAGATTACAGTAGTGATGTCATACTGAAGGGAACCAGTTTAGTGAGGAAGTGCGAGTGCATTCCTGGATACTAGGTCATGTCAACACAGCAGGTAGCTTTCCAACCACAGTCACTCCCCAACCAGCCCTGCAAATACTTACTACAACTACAAATGAATTTTGTTGTGCTGCTTCCTGGTCTAACCAGGCTCTCAGAGCTAAAAACACACCAACAAGGCCTTGACTCAGCATGACTCAGCACAGTGAATAGAGACAACATGGAAGAGTGTAGCATTGATATATTTAATTGTGCATTTTATTACTGTATGAAGCCCTTTGAATGATCTTGATTTTTACAACAGGAAAACACAAATACCAAAAATAAATTTTGTACATGTCACACGACATCTAACAGCCCAATCACCAGAATAAATATGGGCATTACAAAACACAGATATGTTGAAACTTTACATTTCTTTACGTTTCAGCCCTGTGGTTAAGTTTAGTGTGGTCATGTTTAGGCACAAAAAACATTTGGTTATGGTTCAGAAAAGATCATGTTTTGGCTGATGTGGTACCGAGCACATTGATTCCAGTGCTAAAGGGTGGAGCTAGAAACACTGCAGTCTGTTCACTGGTCGACAGAGAATCGCTCCTGTGCGCTCCGGCAGCACTGCACCCCGCTCTTGCCTGACAAGGCATACATGCACGAGCCCACGATTTTTAAATATCCAATCAAGAGAGACTCTCACTGCAGCCTGCTCTTTTTTGTTCTGAAAATGTCGGCGTGCAACCCTGTTATATGGACAGTAAAGAAGGTGCAGACTAGAGCTGCCCCCTAATAGTCGACCAAATGGTAATCGACTAGAAAGGTCATTAGTTGGCAAGATTTTATTGGTCGCTTCGTCACAGACACAAAAACAAATGTGAAACCCTATCAAGAGCTGCACCTTTTCAGATAAATCCAAACCTATATGACTGGACCATGTGTGACTTTAATGTGAAAGGACAGACACAGGAAGTGTCCTCGTCAGGTTAATCTCCAGGGCTGGTACCTGCGGTTATTCCACAGGCTAGTTAATAACATGTCGGGCAGGAAATCCAAAGTGTGGGATCATTTTGAGAAGGTGAAGGACGAACCCAAGGTGATATGTAAACTCATCTTCATTGGTCGACTACAAACATGACGTTTCATCTGAAACATGGAAGTAGCTACATGCCCATTAGCCCACAGCGTCATTAACAGGCGGCTCGCTCAGTGTGTGACGTGCACTTGGAGATAAAATATAGGCCTATATTAATGAAGGTTCATTAGTACTGTTTGTATTTCTCTGTAATGTAGCACAGTGTTAACAATGTTACTGATACTATTCTTTCTCACACCTTCAACTCAAACCACCATAATATATCATTTAATCATTACATTCATATCAGAAACATGCAGGAGACTAGTCCACTGATGGACCCTGATGAGGACTGTTGGTGAACTAGGAAAAGTCTTAGTGGGGGGGGCAGCTCTAGTGCAGACATTCCTTTGTGTCACCAGTGAAGAAGAAATAACAACCTCGCCCATATGTAAGAGTACTGTCTGCAGAGGAAATGCTAAACCAATTTAGGGTCTAGGTAAAAGTCCATATGGGTTATGTACATTACTAAAACGTTTTTGGTTGAAATGCAGCTAGTCTTACCCCAATGATTGGTATATGTAATGCAAAAAATACTTAATAATAAAAATACTAAAGTAACAAAATGACAGTACTCTGAATAAAAAAAAAACAGTGTAATGATTATGTTAAAATAGTTTTCACATTTTTCACATTTGTGTCTGCTCACAGGTCAGTCGTATTTATACAAATGACCCTGTCACACTATTGGCAGCCAGGATGCATTGTGGGTTATGTAGGCATCAGGTTTGACAAAAAGAATAAAAAGGTGAAATAAAAAAGCCAGTGTCTCTGGTTCTGCATTGATTTTTTAAACTGCTGATCATCAGTCAGACGATGCTACAATGCTACGCTAATCTGAGGAGACTCTTTTGAAGCACTTTGTGGTTCACACTGATCGAGCTATAATATACAGCAGCTTCTGCTTTGTTTTTTTGCAAACTTCGGGAAAAGATCTTTGTAATCTGGAATCTTCTTGATGAGCTCTGTGACCTGCTTTGTGTTCTTGGAGTTGTTGTTAAATAGATGATAACGATCACCGCACAGTTCAGCAACACTCTTGAGGCGATCATGTGCGTTAATGAACTTCTCCAGACTTCCTTTCAGGTCGTCTCCGTGCGTCAGCAGGACGATAGTGCTCTCCCTGATCTCCCAGCCGAGCTTCTTCTCCAGCTTTTCTAATATTCCTCTCTCAAGATGCGTGAAGCGGCCCAGCTGTAACACGAGTAACATCACGCATTGCCCTGGCTTACAGTACTTCTTACACTCGTCTACCTGTGCCTGGGGGTTTCTGAGCTGGTCGTGAAAGAAGTCTGGAGTGTCGACCAGTCTCACCTTCCTCTCGAATGGTTTCTCCACTATTCTGACCTCACACTGGGTCGTAACCATCATGGGGCTTGGCACAGATTTGAATAGCTGTATTGGATCCCCCCTGGTTTGGCCAGCAGCCAGGATGGTGTTTGCGGATGCACTCTTTCCGGTCCCGGTCAGTCCCAACAGAACAATGTTGAATATGTTGTCCGAGTCTTCACAGGCACTGTCACCTGGAGGATACAGTTAGGGCAGAATGTTTCAGTGTTGTTGCGATAATTGCAATATGATTAAGGTCCTGAGATCGTGCGTGGCTCATTCAACTTTCGTAACACCGTCTCGGCTCAAATGGTAAATTAAGACTGAGTAGGAACTTTGACCCAGTGCGTGAAGGGAGTAGAGGATGATCTTGATAATTATGTTAAATCTATGGGACGCAATAAAATCATTGCTTTAAATCTAAAGGGAAAATAACAGTTTAATTTGATTCCCAATCAAGACACTCTGTGAAGAACTGCTTCACCTTGTAAATATGGACTTCATCACTTGACTTATGTCCAAGCAAAAGACATAAAGCCCAATGCAATGTCCCGATGTTAAACTCAGACAAAAATGATTGTTCTTGGCCCCCAACACCTCAGAAACTCTCTATCTAAAGACATAGTTTCTCTCGATGGCATTGCTCTGGTCTCTGGCACCACTGTAATGAACCACAGAGTAAACTTTGATCAAGAAACGTTCCTTAACTCTTACATAAAACAGGCTTCAAGGACTGCCTTCCTTGACCTCTGTAATATTGCAAAACTTAGGCACATCCTGTATCAAAAAGATGCAGAAAAACTGTGCCATGCATTTGTTACTTCTAGGCTGGATTAGTGTAATTCCTTAGGTTGTTCCAATAAATCTTTAAAGGCTCTCCAGCTGATCCAGAATGCTACGCCACATCTCTGCACTGGCTGCCTGTAAAAAATCCTTCTCCTCGCTTGCAAAGTTCTACATGGTCAGGCTCCATCATGTCTCAGAGCCTGTTCAGACCTGGTATTAACATGTGTTTTGGGTGATCTGATCACAAGTGGACAGCGCTAAGTACAAATATCAACGACCACCAAGATGTAGTGTGATCTGATCCTTCAAACCACATTAAGAGGTGGTCCAGGCCACATATTGTCAAGTTCTAATAGCTGTGTGAATCACATGTTTGGTTTACTGCACCTTATACCAAAGACGGTGGATAAACCAAGACGGTCCACTGCGAGTCAGTTTCCTGTATCAGTTTCACGTGGGGTTCGCGACCACCACGCCCCTTTAGGAGACTAACAGCAGGTCCTGAGTCCATTGACTTCAGTGGGAGAAATGAACGTGATTACAGATGATGGCCGATTCTTTCGCCCCATAGTCACGGAAGCAGATATTGGACCCATTTATCACAAGCCACATATCTTCAGAACATTCCGACACCAAAATGGCAAATTTCAGATGGACAAATCAGGAGAAATTTACTTTGTTCAAGACCTGTCTCCGTCTCAACAACACACTCTCGCGTGATCTGGCAACAGATATCTCATCACTGGTGCTGAAATCAGTGCAGTTTCACCAAAGATACTGGATTACTAAAAATACTTTTTCCAGCGGATATCTTAGTTACAACATGATTGAGCTAGCAAAGCAGTTTTGTGTTGCTATGTGTGGTATTTATTCAGTTTTGGGAAATCACGATGTCTAGAAAGCATCAGTGGCTGCAGCTGACAGGGACAGCTAACACTAGCAGCAAAGCTAACATCAGGACGTCATCTGTTAAAAGCCTCCCGTTGTCGGATACGACATGAAACTACTCCAGTTGGCTCAATCATGTTGTAACTAAGACATCCGCTGGAAAAAATATTTTTTTCACGGACCGTTTATTTATTTAGCTTACGGCCAGTAAGGGTACAAACATGTTGACAGAAGCGAGGTTGGGGATACTCGTCTTTGATTGGCGGTTCTCCATCGTCTTTGATTGGGGTACGGGGGACAACGCCTACTTGGGAGACCGGAAATGTATACTATTTCATACAATGGGAGTATATTGTAGGTGGGCCATCTTGTAGTAATCCAGTATCTTTGCTTATACTTCATTTTGCTTAACTTAGACCTGTTGTCCTCGCTTGTGGACACTTTTTTGTGCCATCTAGTGGTAGTGAGACCACATTACACTAATCCATGTAAAAACAAGATGGCAGCCATCTCTGCCAAGTCAGACTGCAGACGATCCCGACACAAAAGTGGACAAGGTCCTAAACCTGATCACATTTTATGGCTGAAGCTTGTTTATTTATGATTAATAATGTTTGCAGTTTGATATGGCAACACATTTTTATAAATTTTAGCAACAGTAACAAGATAAGGTGCTGTTAATTAGGAAGTACTCGTTTGAAGACATTGGGACTTCATTATCGCCTCATTTGAGAACATGGGGATATAGTCTTGTTTGAGGACATTGGGACTTTATTATCGTGTCATTTAAGGACACTGGGACTGTTTCTTCATTTGCAAACTTTACGTCCCATAACGTCCCATCAATGCATGTTACTACCTCGACTCCTGTCTCGCAGGCTCCTACAAATCTGGTTGTGCCTGGATTGTGGGTCATGGTTGCACTGCTGCTGAAGTGAATAACACCTTTACATGTTTAAATATCTCAGTGTTGTTTTGCCCCTGAATTAAGCTTCAAATGGATGTTGCAAAAACAAACATATGGACATTTAGTTTGTCACAATTACTAATCTTATCTTATTCTGATGTTAAATTGCGTCTCCCAGAGCATACTAGCGTCACGTTCAGAAGCTGGTGTACTGGCAGGTGTAATGTGATGTGACAGATGACTCAACTTCCAGGATGCAAAATACATACTGCCATTTATAAAGAGACACTCCTTATTTCCTTTTCAAATACTTGAAATAACACCTTAGACCGTTCTCACAGCTTGCTATTGTCATGTGACTTGTGTCGCTTTTACAACACAAGCGAAGAGGAACAGATTAGGATGTGGGGTCTGAACAGTGGAACCAGAGAGTGTCTATTTACTACAATATTTGACACTTCCACCTAAGTAAGAAGAGTGGCACATGCTGCTTCTCTTCTCTTTTCATCCAACAAATTAGTGCCCCAGTTTCTGGATACTCTTTCATCCAATTGTCTTTTACCTTTTCAGCAGGCATGGCTACGGTATTCTAATGTTTTGCTGTGTCAGAGGCCAGACTACCTTCAGCAAGATAACATTCTATAACCAAATGCAACTGAAAGTAATTAAAACCAGATATTTACCTGCTGTCCCAGGGTGATACACAGGATGGCCATCAAAACTGAAAGAGTTATCATAGTTAATGTCAATCACAAGGTGATAGCAACAGAGAGACATCCCAACCTGCTTTCAGGCTACTTTGTGTTCATTCAGATTTCTCGTAGTGGGTTTCTGAAACTATTTTGATGATATGGAGCCTGATACTAAGGTATTTTAAGTTTAATTCATTTATCCTACATGCGTACCCCCCCTCCCAGCATAGTTGTGCTATGTGTGAGAGGTATAAACTGAGTCAACAAGGATCCTTGGAGGGACGAGAACAAAATCTTTTCAGGTGATTATAAACTAATGAAAACGCAGTCATGATTAGTATAATCCATTTCTGCCAGTAGGTGCCGCTAAATCCTACACACTAGACCTTCTAACTGTTGACCTAAACTTTGAGCTCTTACCTGATACCTAAAATCAACCAATGTACTATTTGATTTATTCAGCTTATTGGGAGGAGATGAAAATTGCTAAAATGGGTCATATCTTGGCTTGCATATACCAATGAACTTTTTAATACTAGCTGCAAATGACAGTGACATTTCAACGTTTTTTAGAGAGTCTGATGAAAAGGGCCGGTCTCACTCCGAAGTCATTGAAATCCAGTGTTAGGGCTTTGATTTGCAGTGTCAGAATCCAACGGAAGATGTCCTTTAATGTTAGCATGATACGCGGCCAGTTGCCATTATAGTTTAATGGCGGCCGGCAGAGTTAGGGGGAAACGTTGCAGGACAAGGACGAAAGTTAAGGCGGCGAAAGTCCGACTGGGGCATGCAGGAGGGGTGGTGGATGGGTCCAGCAAACACCGACTGTCACCCGAGAGAGCGGTGTTCATGTCCTGTAAGATTCTAAAGCCAAACCCTGTTCTTTTTTCCTAAACCTAACCACGTGTTCATTGTTGAAGGGAAAAAAACATCAATTTGCAGTGTTGTACCAACGTAGTACATTTATGGTAAAAGAGACTGTATGTAAACGGTAAATTTCCTGTGAAAACAGAAGTGTATCTTGAAAGAAGACAATGCATGTAACAGGCAGAACTTGCATGTTGTATGTGGACATGGGAAATCCATGACCAAACGTCGATACGAGGTCGGAGTGAGAATGTGTTGATGATGACAGAAACCCTCTATGAGAACATATACTGAGAAACACAAGCTAGCCCTAAAGTAGTGTGGGACTATATACAGATATGGTCAGCTGTTACGCTGTAATAATGAAGTTTGTACCTTATGTTCTCTAACGCTGTCATTCTTCTCAACACAACATCTTCACTGTAGTTTTCGTAGTTATACTGGAATGACTTACGATCCGAACACCACTTCTTACATTCACTGGCCAGATTTTCACTGGCGACTGCCAGCTGGGTGTTGAACTTTTGCTCCAGCTGATGAAGTGAATTTAAACTTTTGGCATCTGGTAACATAATGACCAAGTTTGCTGTGATATTGTCTCCAAAGGTAGCTTTAAGGTTTTTGATCTGAGCCACGACTTTATCCTCTTTGGTGTTTTCTGAGTCTATTGCCAGTATGAACAGATCAGGGCCAGGATGAGAAAGTGCCATGAAGTCAATGATCAGCTGGTCCGGGTGCTGACATTCTTCATCAAAGAAGTCAGGGACGTTGATGATTTTGAATGAGTCATTTGTTTCCATGACAAAGCTGTTTGATGTTGTGGCAAAAGCATTAGGCCTGTTGGTGAGGATCGTCTTTCCTATGCTGTTCTTTAGTGGAACCTTTTTTCCGAATAGAGCGATGGTTGACTTTGCAGGACGTGCTGTGGAAACAGAAAACAGAAATATGTTTACATGCAAAATCCTGGCTGGTTTTAGAGGAAGGTCTTGGGCTTAGTGAACTGCCACTGAACAACTTTAAGCATTCTTGACATTTGATTCCCTGCTGTATAGGTGTCAGGCTGCTTCATAGCTAATTCAATTCTGCAGCAATTTTTCCTGTCTCCCTTAAGGGAGTAAACAAAAAACTTAAACAACAACTACAGATACTCAATCCATCCATTTTCATCTGCTTATCTGGGGTTGCGGGGCAGCAGGTTGAGCAGTACTCCAGACATCCCTCTCCCCAGCAACACTTTCCAGCTCCTCCTAGGGGACCCCGAGGCGTTCCCAGGCCAGATTAAACATATAATTACTCCAGCATGTTCTGAGTCTTCTACCAGTTGGAGGTGCCCTGAACACCTCTAATGGTAGGCGCCCTGGAGGCATCCTGATCAGATGCCTGAACCACCTCAATTGGCGCCTTTAAATGTGATGTAGCAGTGACTCTACTTTGAGCTCCTTCTGGCTGTCCAAGCTCCTCATGCCATGAGTCCAGCCAAGCTATAGAGGAAACTCATTTCACCTGCTTGTATCCGTGATCCATTCTTTCAGTCATTACCCAAAGCTCATGACCATAGGTGAGGGTTGGGATATAGATTTCCTGTAAATTGAGAGTTTTGCCTCCATCACTGCTGATGTTGCACACAAGCACCAGTCAATCTCACACTGTATTTTACCCTCACTCGTGAACAGGAACCTGAAATACTAGAACTCCTCACTTGGAACAGTAACTCTCTCCCAACCCAGAAGTGGCAGTCCACTGTTTTCAGGCAGAGAACCATGGAGGTGCTGACTCTTACTCCAATAGCTTCACTCTCGACTGAAAACCACCCCAGTGCGTGCTGGGGGTCACGTTGCAATGCAGCCAACACAACCATATCATATGCAAAAAGCAGAGACGGTATTCAGAGGACCCCTTCTTCCCCCTCGCATGCCCTGCTGTCCTTTGAGGCATCTAAGAAGTTGCCAGAGCTTCTTTGATGCCAACTGAAAGTCCTTCTCCATAGCCTCCCCGAACTCCTCCCAATCCCAGGTTTTTGCTTTGGTGACTGCCCCAGCTGAAGCCCTTCTGGCCAGCTGTTACCCATCTGCTGTTTCAGCAGACCCCTGGGCCAACAAAGCCCAAAAGGCCTTCTTCTTCTTCAGCCTGGCGACCTCCTTCACCACTGGTGTCTACCAGCAGGTGCTTAGGTTACTGCCATGACAGGCATCAACAACCTCCTGACCATAGCTTTTAGCAGCTGCCTTCACAGTGGAGCCTTTGAACATGGCCCACTCGGATTCAATGTCCCTAACCTCCCTCAGGATGCATGAAAAATTCTTCCTTAGCCTGACATTCCTAGTTCACCCTTACTATGCATTTGGGTTTACAAGGCCTCTCTGGCAGCCTCCCCTTCCATCTGATTCCACTCACCACCAGGCAGTGATCAGTTGACAGTTCTGCTCCTCTCTTCACCCAAGTGTCCAGACATATGGCCACAGATCTGATGATACAACCACAAGTTGATCATCAGTCTTTGGCCTAGGGTGCTCTGGTAACATGTACACTTGTGAACACTTGTGAACATGATGAGCACAGAAGTCTGATAACAAAACACCACTTGGGTTCAGATCGGGCAGGTTGTTTCTCCCAATTCCCCCTCTCCAGGTTTCTCCATCATTGTTCAAAAGAGTGTTTAAGTCCCCCAACAGAAGTACAGAGTCCCTGGTCAATACCCTTTCTGACACCGCTCTAGAGACTCCAAAAAGGCTGGGTACTCTGAAGTACTCTTTGGTGCATATGCGCAAACAACAGTCAGAGACCACCACTCAGCGACTTGAAGTCACTTCGAAGCAACCCTCTTGTTCAATAGGGAAAACCTCAACACAGTGGCACTTAGCCAGGGAATCAGTGCCTCACACCCGGGGCAATACCAGAGAATGAGAGAGTCCAGCCCCTTTTCTAGGAGTTGATGTGAAGACGACTATATCTAGTTGGTACTGCTCTACCTCCCACACCAGCTCCGGCGCCACCCCAAGATAATTTTATGTTGTGCATTTAAGATTTTTAAAAAATCACTTTTTGGGACTTAAGGAGCTCCATATAATATGATTGATAGTAATTGTAATGTTGCCATTGCTCACTGGTCACTTTGATCAGATGAATTAAAATAAAATATAAAATGTCAGAGAAGGCTATCATGATGTCTTGATGTCACATAAAAATGATTATTGGCATACAATCTAAGCTGTATCCGGGTCAAAATCACCCGTCCACTACAGCAAACTCTTTTCAGGTATGTTCAGCTTAATCGGTATGAACTGAACATACATTAGCAATCCCAGCAAACATGTTTTTTCAAGTAGTTTTGTTGTAGTTTTTCAACTTGTCCTAACCACGATCAAAGAATGCAGCATATTCATAACAAATGTGGTGGCCTAGGACTATGATACTGACCATGTAATCATAATGTCTTGTCTGGGATCTGTGTTGAATGTCAGCCCCCGAAACAAAACTGTTTTTAAAAGAAGAGAGAAGAAATAATAGTCACTTACATGAAGGTTGTCTGTTAGACTTCATTTTAGCTGAGCAGCGGAGAACAGCCGGCAGACAGGTTTCTCTGTAATCTGGGTCAGTTTTGAAGACTGGCTGAATCACACTGACACAGGCTGATCCACCCAGTGGGTGGAGTGCTGACAACTGCTCCACACTAAAATAACAGTGAGCTCTGTTTCTGTTTATTCTTCAAAAAGTCAAGGACATAGGCAGAAGGGTATAAGCCACTCCTCAATCAAGTGAAGTTTAATTTAACATGAGGGTCTACAGGGGTCGACTCACTTCTGGAGCCTCAAGTGGCCGTTAGACGAACTGCAGTTTTATGTTGCACTTCTGTGTTGACTTCATTGGCAGTCATTGGAGTTGGAGTCTTGTAGTGATAGGATGGCCCTCATTTCCCATCATGCCTCTCTAGTGCTGTCCTGAGTAGTTTAAGTTTTCTGTTTTCTGTTCCAACGTAACAGCCTTGCAGTTACATGTGTACGGTTATCTCATCAGGTAACGTTAACTAAGCTAACTAGGTAAGACCACTGGCATAAATTTTAGAGTTCGCTGAGTAAACGAGAAAGTTGGCTGCCACAAGAAGAAAGTACCTGGCAGTGGGGATTGTTTTTGGCTTCTGATACGTTTAGTATTGAAACTGGTGCATACATGTTAGAAAGAACTTCTGATACCAGCCAAACCTTGTTTGAGAACTGCCCCAACACACGTCATGAACACTTTAAGCTCCGTATACACTCTGTGATATTGGGCTGTCCCCGTTGAAAGATGACCAATGTGAGAGACACGTGGCGATATCTTTGGTCGTGGCTCTAAAGGCCCTGACACACCAAGCCGACGGTTGGCCGTCAACCAAAGTCGGGCTGTTGGTGAGCGTCTGTCGGCCTAGTTTTTGCGGTGTGTCCCGCACCGTCTGCACTTTGGCGGTGGCGGCTTTTTGGCCGATTGAGCATGTTGAATCAGCAGCGGAGCTTGTCGGTGAGAGAGATCACTCTGATTGGCTGTTCAGGTTTTATTTCCTCGCCCCTGTAGCGAGTGAATCTGCTTGTAGTGAAACTGGGGCTAACCGGTGCTTCCTCCTCAGGCTCCACTTCACTCAGCTGCCCACAGACCCGCTGCAGCTAGCGGAGCGTTAGCCGCAGCATGACCAGAGGGAAGCACAGCCAGTTAGCCTCCGCTAGTCTCTGAGCTAGCCCCGGCTCTCCGTTTGGATCCAACCGGAGCACTGAGCCCCGGTTTGTTATTTAGGTTAAAGTGGGAAGAAGCAGCGGGTTTATCGGGCAGCTGAGTGAAGCGGAGCCTGCGGAGGAAACACCAGGACCATCTGGATGTAATAGTCCGTGGAGGCGCTGCGGTGCTCGGCTGCACAGATAGGAAACCCTTCAGCTGACAGGATGTACCACTCTGTCACTCCGCTCTCTCTCGCGCAGGCGCAGAATGTACGTGCCACTTGGCCACCGGATGTAGTCCGTGTAGTGTGTTCAAATGCATCTGACACAAGGTGACGTGAGGCGACGTGAGGCAATGTAGACGACGCAACAGTTGGCTTTCATCGCCGCTAGTTCTTTGATGTCGGTTTGGTGTGTCCGCACCTTAAAACAGTCGTCCTATGTCGCACAGTGACAGGTTCAAGGATACCTGTTGTCATGGTCTTGTGATTAAAGACAGCCTGGGATAAAATTCTGACAGTGTCAGAAATTTGGGATGCCCATCTAACTGTGTGACTGCTGTTATGACCTACGTCTACTAACCAACCAATAGAAATGCAGCATGAAATGATGCACTGGCGGTAAACCCAAACAAAGACAGACAGACAGCAGCTTGCCATGGAGGTAGAACATGCTAAAACAAAACAAAACAAACAAACCTTTCGGTGACCCTCTGTGTTGTGCTTCACAGTTGGAGCAGTAATAACTCATGCAGCATCCTTGCACACTCAGTATGTGAAGCTATTGCATCGTACGTCACATCCTGTGCTTCTGTAACTAATGTGATCTCTCATTCAACATTTCTTCTGTCTTTCTGAAAAAGTGTTTGGTTTTTTTTACCATCCCTAACTTAGTCTTCCTCATATCCACCTGAGCTCTCCTCTAATGTCGTCTTTTCAACCTTTTACTGTCTGCTGTTTTGACAGACATGTCTCTGACTACGAAATGTAGGCTACAAGATCTAATTAACAAGATTAACAGACTGGCAGCAGGAAGTTTTTGTGTGTTGGTTTCAGCTGAGCAAGAGCCGAACAATGTGAAACATCCTGCTGAGCAGCTCATGGAAGAACGAACATCGGGGATTAAAATATAGCCCGAAGCGGCAACTGCAGCTTTCTTTATTTAGCTTTAGATAGCACAGAGTGTGGAGTGGAAGTCATACCAGTAAGGTACACTTTACAGTAGGGCACTAAGGTAGGGTTTAGGTTAACACTAAACCTGATCGAGCTGTTTTGGCTTCATTTTTGGGAAGCTGTCATGCCGTACATCTTGATATACAGCCTATGATTTCACTCAGAGAAATCACACAGAATACGAAACCTTTATATCCACATGTAAGGGACTATTTAAGTGCTGCTCTGTGCGCTCTCTAAAGCGAAGAAGTGAGTGTAGGTACTATAAGTATCTGTTTGTGCGTGCGTGTGTGTTCAAGTTCTGCTTGTTTTCCTGTGCCCGCACCTCTTCCTCGAAGTCCTGCCAAGAATGTTCTCATTTCACAGGTGTGTCCTCATCACTGGGCGTCTTTCTTTCTCAGGTGCTGCTGCTCCTGAGAAAATTACAGGCCCTTAATAAAAAGAATATTCCTCTGCAAGTTCAAGGTCAATATAAATAATATAGGTCTCAAAACAAAGGTAACACTTGGGAGATTTATTGAGGATTGTAAGCATCAGTATAGGTGCTGCTGGGTCAGATTAAATGAAGAAATAAGACAGAATAAATGACATTTAAGTGAACATTCCTTTGATTTGATGTAGCAGCAGCCCAAAGCTTTTAGAGAATCATATAACAACATCTTATCTGTATCTGTGCACAGGCAGATGCTTATAAAATGAAGCAGAGCACATTCAGAGCAAGAAATGCCTAGGCGAGATCTTTAAATAGGTCTTTTTAGGTACATTTGTGAACCCTATTCAGTTCCCAGATAACAGTAAAGCTCATTTGATGTCACTTAGATGTCATTATAAGCATTAAATCCATGTAAAAACAACAACTTGTGGCATTATTTCAAAATATAAATCAACCAGACCTCCATATATGTTCCTTTTCTTAGAAAACCATAACAAATAGTCAGAATTAGCCTTCACTGGGGTCAAGGACAGGTGTGAACACTGGAGTGAATATCTTAGTGTTGGCTCCATCTGCTGGTTGATCAGTGTTAATACATCCATGATTAGACCATGAAAAGAAGGCAGTTCCCCCTAAATTTTAAAATGATGTCGGTGCCCTTTCTCTAAGAGCAGAGTCATTGTGATTTATTTCTGTATAGACAGCCCATAGAGACGGAGCCAGAATTCAAATAATTACGTTCATGGTTTGATGAAAAGAACACATGGAACTCTACAACACTAAACAAAATGTAAGAAAGCTTTAAATCTTGTGAGGAATGTTTTATGATTGTGGGGCTAATAAATTATCTTCTCAAAGATGTACATCAAGCAAATATAAGATTCACTACTGATTCTGGAAGTATAGTATATGGACAAGCATGTAAGGCAACTTTGCAAAGACTACATTGTGACCATTTTTTGTAATCTGAACTGTATTTACTGTAACGTGTGCAGTAAGATACTGTTTTTTTGCATGCACAAAAATTTTGCACATCCAAAGTGCACCCCGCAGGGAGACTTTTATCTGCCAGCACCAGAGGGTGTCTTAAAAGGATAGTGCACCCAAAAATGAAAATTCAGCCATTATCTACTCACCCATATGCCGAGGGAGGCTCAGGTGAAGTTTTAGAGTCCTCACATCACTTGCAGAGATCCAAGGGGAGAGGAGGTAGCAACACAACTCCACCTAATGGAGGCTGACGGCGCCCCAGATTCAAACGTCCAAAAACACATAATTGAAACCACAAAATATCTCCATACTGCTCGTCCGTAGTGATCCAAGTGTCCTGAAGCCCCGACATAAAAAGTTGTTTGTAAAAACGTCATTTGAACTCTGTTTTTAGCCTCACTGTAGCCTGTAGCTCTGACTGCCTCTCTGTGCACCACACTCACGTGTGTGCGCTTGCGCGAGACCGTGAGACATGGGCACCGCGTTCATGTGTGTTCACGTGCTTTTGCTGGTCTCCCACGCAAGCTCACACATGTGAACGCGGTGCACTGAGAGGCAGTTAGAGCTACAGTCTATGGTACCAGTAATAACACTTCACCTCCGTTGGAACGTGCCTGAAAAGGTAGTTAATGTCCATACGTCATATTAACTAATTGCCAAATAGATTTGGCAACAAACATTTGTGGTGAAAATGAGCACTAATTAATTTCTAGTGTTAGCTATTAAAGCTAAGTAGCCAGCAATTAACTAGACACACATTCACCAACACTGAACTAATGTTAATGTCTTTACTACGTTATATCAGATAGCTCACGTAAAGTCTGAGTAAAGTTTCAATCATATGTGTTGTGCTGCAGTTGTAATTTATGCAGACAGTAGTACCTTTCATTTATTGCATATTTGGACTGTATAGCTGTAGCCTTCTTGTTTATGCGGATTATAGGAAATATGTTTTTTAAATGTTGACATGGCTGCAGCCTTTGCTGACCACCTCCAAGCCAGATTAGTAAAATCTGATTTTGAAAACTGAATCAAAAGGAACAGTGTAGACATAAAGTTCGACCCTTTGCTGGCATATGACGTGACCTCATTATGTTTTATCACCGGCTTTGCCTCACTGACGGCTGAACAATGTGAAACATCTCGCTGAACAGCTCTTGTCTTCTCCTGACACAGTTCAGACACAGCTGTCGGATGGAACTGTGATGATCACAGATTAAATTGACGTAAAACATATTGACAGCACCGAACAAGAATGTTTTGATCAGATCTGTTGGTCAGTGATCCGATATCTGGTTTCA